AGGCCTTTTCGCAGTCCAGCAGCACCGCGACTCCTCCGATGCGCTTTTCCTTCGTCAGGTCGAGCACGTCGCGCACTAGGTGGATGCAGTTGTCGATCGTGCGTCCTAGGACAAAACCGTTCTGGCATGTGGGGAGAATGTCGTTGGCAACAGCTTGAAGACGTTGCACCAGCGCGCGTGCAATGATCTTGCTGTCCACGTTGAGCAGCGAGACTGGCCGGTAGTTTTTCAGCTCGTCTCGGCTGCCCTTCTTGAACAGAAGCTTGATGTGTGCCATGTACATTGATGCAGGTAGGCGCCCGTTTCGCATTGACCGATTCGCGATGGTTGCTAGCAGCGGGGCCAGCAGCTCTTCAAAGTGATGGTAGAACTCAGGCGTCAGCCCGTCACAGCCTGGGCTTTTGCCTTTGGTCGTTCTTTTGATCGCCTCTCGGAGCTCCATTGCGGTCAGGTCAGCGCCCATACGCTCGTGGTCTTCCGCGTCCAGCAGCTCACAAGGCGAGGCGCAACGAAGCACTTCCTCCTGGGCGGCCGAGACGGTCGGCTCACTGGCGTACAGAGTCTGGTAAAAGCTGCGCTGCGCCTTGAGGATGTCGACGGGGTCGGTGACAACTGTCAGGTTTCTGGATGCAACCTGCCACTTTGAATGATTTCTTGCATGTTTTCCCACCCTTGTCTTTTCTTCCTGATTTTCTTCTGTCTTGCTCTGATTTGTCTTGTCTGATTTTCTGATTTGATGATGACAAATATGTTTGCCTGTCAGTCGTCAAAATTTGATCAACCTGATTCGATTTGGATCCTTTCTTGTCTTGTCTTTATTAAATCCCCAAAATCCCCAATTCCTTGTCCTGTCTTGCGCCAACACCTGAGTACCCTTCTCTGTCCAGTCCGGGATCCTAACAACAACCGTGTCGCCTACCTTCAGGCTGGGGATGGTGAGTGCCCGTTGCGCTTCCTTCTCGAGTGAAAAGAAGAGCTTGGAGTTGCGTTCGTTCTCGAGCCGCCATCTCCGCGCCGTTCGAATGCGTGCGGCCTCGGCGCGCTCGTTCAGCAGTGCGTGGAGCTCGCTTTCCAGTCGTGTTCTGCAGCGTTCCAGCTCTTTGGTGTTGCCACCTTGGATCCGTAGTTCTGCCATACTTCTTTCCGTCATGCGAAGCTCCGTCTCAAGTAACTCCTGCTGTCTCTTGGCGTTCTGGTCACGGTCGGTGCTCAGTTGACGAGCGCGGCTCATGATCTGCTTCTTTGCCAGATCCCATCCAGCTTCCGGAGCGCCGTCTCGCGCGAGCTTGATGAGGACACTCTCGCAGTAGTGGGTGAAATCGGCGTCCAGCAGCAGTCGCGCATCGAATTTGTACTTGGCCCTAGGCCGTGTGTGGTCGTTGGTGCCCATGCAGCTGACGCACACCGCACGGTGGTCCGAGTCCTTGTACTCTTTGATCCTGGCTTGTGTGGCCAGAAACGGGAGCGTGCTGGAGCCGAATATGTAGTCGATGCGCGTGAGGCTGCGCTCCTCGACAGCACCATCGGTGTCCGAAGCGTTGCGGGTTGGCCTGGCCCAGGTGTAGCTGATGGCGTGCGGGTCCACGTCGTCGTACAGGTCCTCCAGCCCCCATTCTGTTGAGCATCTCAGCAAAGGCCTTCTGAGCGCTGTCGAGTGGGTCGGGAACCTTCCTGGCCTTGGAGTAGTATCTTGATCTCGCCATTTTTCATTCGTTGCTTCGCCCCCGGTAGCAGGGGCCAGTACGAATGGCGTGGCGAGCCGACTCGGTCGATGTTGATTTGTCCTTGTTTCGCGATTGCGTTCCGGATTGCTTGTTCGTCGACCTTGGCTGTGTTGCCTGTCAGAGAGATGGTAAAGCCCTCGACAGCCATTTCCAGATCGTAGCTTTGTCCGTTGATCTCGACGAGCTCGTTCACCATCTTGTTCGCATGCTCCTCGGATTCGAAAACCAAGTTGATGCGCCCAAGCTTGGCGGAGATCTCGACGATTTCCACCACGTACTTTGTGTTTGCGATTCCTTGGATCCGCTGCGCAAACTTTTTCATTTCAGCTTGCGTGGTGGGTCGCGGGAACTGCGGGAGGATGAGGACGTTGTTGTGTGCGCGTGATGCTTTGATACGCGCTTGGAGCTCGTTTTCCTTGCGCTGCTTGTGCTGTGTCCGGCTAGCGCTCGCCTCAATGTCAACATTGGGGCTGAGCTCGTTCACTTCAGTCTCGTCGGTGCTGCCATCCACGCGGGGCCGCTTCCTGGCACTGCTGCCATCTTCGCCACTGGGCGCGGATGACGACGAGGCTGCCGGCGTCGCCTGCCGCTGGGGCTGCGGCTGCACGCGCTGCGGTTGCTGGCTACCCTGCGACTGGGCCTGCTGGGTTGCGTGGACTGGCTGGAAGGCGGAAGAGCGGTGGGAGGACGCCGCTCCTTCGCTGCTCGCAGTTTGCATCAGCTGCGTTCGCGTGGCCCCCACTATCTCCGCGTAGGAGATTTCGCCGGTGCGCATCGGGGATGGGCCACGCGTCGGGGGGCGGGGCTCGTCCTCGGCACTAGGGCCGGGCGGGGGAAGCTGGGCAGAGCTCGCAGAGGCGGGTGTCGAGTCCAGTACCGCCAGGCCCGAGGAGCCCACCAAGTTGCGGGGGGGGGGGCGTCGGCGGACGGGAGACCGTAGGCGTCGGCTGAGCCATTCCGTCCGGGACCGCGATCTGGTGGTCTTGGGTGGGCAGCGAGTCGTTCTGCCCACTCGACGCGCCAGCACCTCCGTTGCCCCCCATGAACGCCTCCAGCGTGGACTGGACCGCCCCGGGTTTCGAAGGGTTGCTGCCCCTGCGCCCCACGGGGGGCTTGGTCGCCGTGTTGGCGTTCTTGGTTGCTCCGTCGTTGCTGACACCGCTCATGATTGCTCTTGCTTTTGCTCAAAAAAAGAAGACTCCCGCAACTCAAACGATGAAGTTGGTACATGATGTGGACCTCCCAACGCGTGCTAAACATGCCGGTTGAGCTGTCTAGGGACCACGGTGAGGTGTGTCGCGCGCGCTTGGGAACCGCACTCCACAACCCCCTCCGTCGCGCAGCCTACACTGAGTCTACCGTCATCCACGGACTACAGGTGGGGGTTTTAACGCACAACAACTCAGATTTTATTGGAGAGAGGAGGGGACAGCGTCTCGTGACGGAGGCGATTTTGCAGCTTCATATTGGGAGTACTCTTCTGTTACCTCAATCAATTCATGCTTTCCACCACCAAAATCACGTCATTCCACTCCACCCTCTACCCGCACACTGCACAGGTGCTTAGGATCACTTCCAAAACCCAACAAGGCGTGTTTGGTGCCGTTGATAGAGGGAAGGCCGGGCCCTAAGATCATATGTGCTAACGTGAATGCTCGATGAGAGTACAGCGTCCCTCGGCCCGCCATCGCCGCCCAGATTGGTCTGAAGTACCGAAGAATGTTCAGGTACACTCGTGTGTACAAGGCGGGCGGCAGGTTTGCAACCAAGCCGAGCTTTGGCTGATGGCTGAAAACTCCAGGTTACGGCCCCCTTTTTCCAGCTCAATTTCAGTCCGACGAGTCCCCATTGCCTCTGAGATCGCCGCTTTTACCCTCAAAATGACGACAATGATGTCATCTACAGCTTATGCTCAAAAGGAAATGGGTAGGCGGGGGTTCAAGTACCGAGTCAAGTACGAAAAGTCGCGGTCGCCGAAAATGCGAGCAAAACAAGATTTGTGCTTCGCCAAACGGCATTTGCATTATGCCGCCAAGCAGTGGCTCAACGTCATTTCCTTGGGCGACACTGCTGTCCGGGTATAGCAACGCATGTGTTCAAACATGTGCGCATGAAACCGGGCAGCTGCTCGACCACAGGGTCGTCCAGCCGCAAGTGAAATGTGGAAAGGTGGCAAACTGACGATTTTCCAAAAATTTCTCGTTTCGCCGTGTCCACTTTCGTGAGGTCGGAGATCGCATGAACTCGTTCCCCTATCTCTCCTTTCTCAATGATGAGTTGAAGTACGCCCGTCGCACATCACCAGAGGGTAAAAACTTCATATTCCATCAAACCAATGCGCCCTGGCACAAGAAAGCGGTTGTGACCAGGTGGTTGAAAAACCACAAAGTCGACGTGCCCGACTAGCCTCCCAACTCCCCCGACCTGTATCATACCGCAAACTCATGTACCATGGTCAGGAAAGAAAACTACCAAGGTGCAGTGACGACGGACCAAGTCGTGGTTTGAGAGTGCTTCCGAAACGTGAGCGACAAAGTGCTCAGTCCAACACATTACATCCGCCTCATCAGCTCTATCTCCGAGAGCGTCCATGCATTTTATGATGTCAGTCATGGTTATGTTTGTTATTAAAGTGGTTTGGTTGGATTGAAATGGGTGGAACGGGCGGTTATACCGCAAATTTTGAAAAAATAGAGAAATTTTCAGATTTTTCTTCACAAAAATCGCAGTTTTTCTCGTCTCCTCCTTCACATGCACATTGGATGAGCCAGATTTTTGATAAAATAGTGTGAGCCACACAGCACCCATTTATTAATAAAGTAGCGGGCTCGCGTGGAGGCAGGGAACATGGTGAACTAGCAATCTCTACGAACTTTTTTGGGGGATTAGTAGTTTTCAAACTCTCATTTCTTTCTTAACAACTGAGTACTGTAGTCCAGTCCGGGACCCCAAACAGGCTCGTGCTGGGTTGTTCTTTGCCAAAGCAAGGACGACGCTAATGTTCGTTGCCACAGCAGCGAACAGCAACGAGCGCTTTTGTTGTGTGTTTGAGCATGTATCGAAATCTGAACAACCAGTCGAGGAAGAAGAGAGAGAGAGACAATTTGGTTTCTTTGAAAGACATCGGCGAGGCACACATAAGAATGGCAAAGTGAGAAGAAGACGGGGAGAGGGGAGGGGGAAAGAGAAACTTGGAGAGCGCATCAGAACAAGAACAAGACGACAAAACACCAACGAGCAAATTGTCAATCATGCGTCGGCGGCTCGCATTTCCACTCATTCCTTCTCAAACTCCATAATGAGCTCCTCGGAGGCGAGGGTTTGCCCTGGCTTGACGAAAACCTTCTTAATCTTGCCAGTGCGTTGAGCACGAAGCGAGTTTTGCATCTTCATGGCTTCCACCACTGCCACCTCTTGACCAGCGACAACCTGCCAATCCATCAAAGCTCGATCAGTTCCCACATCCTCCATCTCAACCATTGAAGCGAGCAGGCCGTCCTTACAGAATCACCAGCGGCCACTGCAATCGTCACAACAGTGCCAGGCATGGGCGAAACCACCATCATGCTCGTGTCGGCCTTCGCCTTCTTGGGCATCAGCTTGGACAGCTCGTACTCACGAGGTGTCAGGAAGACCACATCGTACTGCAAGTAAAACCGCCGAAACAAAAAACCCCAAGCAATGCCAACCGCAGCGAAAGCAAGAAAAAAAAAAAGAGCCAAAGAGACAAACAATCCATGTCAGCAAACCGACCCGACGTGAACAAAAGAAATCTACAAAACAGAACGCAAACTCTCACCACGCCGCCCAAATAGCCAATCTTGAAGCCGCCGGGGATGGAGCCAAGGTTCTGGATGGTGACGACATCAGAAATGTGATCGTGCGAGTCTTCAAACTCGACATCCTCGGAAGCCGCAGCCGTTTCGTCGACAAGCTCTTCGTCCTCGTGCTCACAAGGTTCCTCCACAATAAAGTGGCGGACACGGATATGGTTGGTGGGTGCTTCGCTGTCTTCAGAGACTGCGAGTTTCGAGCCATCCTCAAACTCAACCTGACTCGAGATACAGGAGCACATTCAACAGTGAGCGAAATTCAAGCACCCCAAACAACAACCAAACAAAACAAAGCAACAAATCCACCCCCCCTCTAAACAACCGTATTGCATGACCATACCTGAGACATTCCTTCAACGGACGAAAGGATGATGCGATGTGGGGCGCCATCGAGCAAAACCACGTACTCTTGCGCCTCAACTCCAGAGGCGACCTCGGAGACGACATCTTGACGAGCAACCTTGCTTTGGAACGACACATTGTCGACAAGCTCGGTCGCCTTGAGAGCAGCGGCCGTGCTAAGGAGATGATGAAGCTGCAAATCCTTCAGTTCTCGCTTGGCAAAGCCCGTGGGGTACTCTTCTTGGATGAACTTGGTCGAGATGTCGCCAGAGATGAAGCGAGGATGGTCGATCATGTCGCGCAGAATAGGAATGTTGTGCGTGACACCACGAATGACGTAGCTGTCAAGAGCTTCGCGCATCGTCTGCAGCGCCGACTGACGGTCCGGGCCGTAGGTGATCAACTTGCAGATCATGGGATCGTAGTAGATGCTGATGTTGCTGCCTTCCACAATGCCACTGTCGCAGCGAACAAGGTTTTGCCCAGTGCTGTTGGTTTGAACAAATCAAGCAAAAAAAAAAAAAAAAAAAAAAAAAAAGAAACACAGAAAGAAAAGAAAAGAAACACAGAAAAAAAAAAAAAAAAAGCCACAAACCAAAAAAATGCAAGTTAGGTCCTGTGCAGAACAACAACACGATCAACAATGCCAGTGCTCACTAATCCACGGGCTCAGCATAGGTTTGCAGCTTGCCAATGGAAGGAAGGAAGCGAGTGGGGTCTTCTGCGTAGACGCGCGACTCGAACGCCCAGCCGTTCAGCTTGACGTCGGCTTGAGTGAACGAGAGGGGGCGATTGGCCGCAGAGCGGATCATTTGCTCGACAAGATCGACTCCAGTAATGTACTCGGTGATCGGGTGTTCGACTTGGAGACGAGTGTTCATTTCCAAAAAGTAAAAGTTGCGCTTCGAGTCGACCATCATTTCGACCGTGCCAGCAGAGTTGTACTTGACGGCCTTGGCGAGCATGACGGCTTGCTGGCCCATCTTGGCGCGGGTCTCAGGGTCGATGAAGCTGCTGGGCGCCTCCTCAATGACCTTTTGGTTGCGGCGCTGGATGGAGCACTCGCGCTCGTTCAGGTAGACAACGTTGCCGTGGTTGTCGCCAAGAACCTGGATCTCAATGTGGCGCGGGTTGTCGATGAACTTTTCGACAAAGAGACGATCATCGCCAAACGACGACGCGGCCTCGGCCGCCGACAGCTTGAAACCCTCGCGCACCTCCTCGTCATTCCAAGCAACACGCATGCCCTTGCCACCGCCGCCGCCAGAAGCCTTCACCATGACTGGATAGCCAATCTCCTGCGCAATCTTGATGGCATGATCGGCGTCCTTCACAACGCCGTTATAGCCGGGAATGACGTTGACCTTGGCCTCGGTGGCAAGAATCTTGCTGTGAATCTTGTCACCCATGGCGTCAATGGCGCCAGAGTGCGGGCCAATGAAGGTCACGCCAAGCTGCTCGAGCTGAGCGGCAAAATGGTTGTTCTCGGAGAGGAAACCATAGCCTGCAGCGACCCAAACAAATGAACGAGACAGTGAGACGACAAGTCGAAGGAATGATGAACGAAGAACAGCCAAAATTAAAAAAAAAAACCAAGAAACCCCCCCCCCCAAAAAAAAACCAAAAAAAAAAACACAACGAGCAGGACATGTTTTTCGGTTCTGTGGTTACCTGGGTGGACGGCCTGAGCACCACTTTGACGAACGGCATCAATGATGGCGGTCGCGTTGCGGTACGAATCGTTGGTCGGGGCAGGGCCGACGCAGTACGCCTCATCAGCAAGCTGAACATGCAGAGTTTGGGCATCCACCTCAGAGTGGACGGCCACCGTTTGAATACCAAGGCGCTTGCAGGTGCGCATGATACGGCAAGCAATCTCACCACGGTTGGCGATGAGAATCTTGTTGAACAGCTCGTGCTTGGGCGGGTTGGCAATGTCCGGGCGCTTTGTGCGGACGGCATGCTTCGGGGCAGTCGGCGACTGGTCGGCACTGTGACCACCACCGAACGAGGCTTGGGTGGCGTGGAACGAGCGCACAGGCAAGACGGCAGCAGCCACGCCCTAGCGAAAACGATCCAAAAAAAAAAAAAAGAAAAGCCCATCAAGAAGGTGAGTGCATTGATGGCGTAAAGGCGTAAACTTGCAACAAACCCCCTGATGGGACAAAGGGCCTTTTCAACCATCATTTCTGAGAAATGCATGAGCAATCGAGCGACGTACAGCGCCAAGTCGGGCCTTGCGCACAACACAGATGCCGATGGTGGGTCCAACGGACAACGGACAGCAAAAAGTTCATGTTGAGCATGCTCATTGCTATTTAGCTTTGATGAAAACTCAGAGATCTGTTACAATGACAAATGGCAAGTAATCAAACAAAAATGTGAGTGAATGAATGGAAATCCATCAAAAAAAAAAAAAAAAAAAAAAAAAAAAAAAAAAAAAAAAAAAAAAAGAGAAGGGATCGCAGCTTTGTCTGCGCAATGGAAGGGAACGATCGGGATGCGCAGTCAACGGAAACGCGAGCAAGCCCAGTGGGACTGCTTGGAGAGAGAGTGATCTCCGGATGAGGAACGAGAGAGAGAGTGTGTGTCGAGAGCGAAATGAGCAAGCGAAGGCACATGGAAAATGCAAGGAAAAAAGAAAAAAAAAAAGAAATAAAAAAGATGCAATGAAGCCAAAGCAAAGTGACTGCAGAGTCAAGGGCGGAAGGGCGGCTGAGACGGGAGAGCTGAAAAGGCATGGGAGTGACAATGACAACAATGACACGAGTGAACGACTGCCGACCAGACGGGGCACGACAAAGCGTGTGGAGAATGAACACAAAGAAACGGAGGAGCGCTCTTTTGCTCGAGAGCGAATCGCGGTGCACATAGCACGAGCATGCCGTGCTGCAGGCATCGGCTATCGACGATTCAGCATCCGATGGATGGCAAGCGGCTCGTTTGGGAGGGCTGAGGACCGAACGGCGAGACGAGGGTTCAGCAGCAGCAGCAGTAGTAGATTGGTTGGATTCATTCACACCTTTGCCACAGTGCAAGCACACTCGTACCCCCACCCCACTGCTAAGGTTCAGCACGAAGCAAAAAGTGCAAAACGATCGCTGCCCACTTTCAACAACGAACGACAACGCGATCGAAACAGAAATACAAAAACAATCACAAAAAAAAAAAAAAAAACCAACCAAAAAAAAAAAAAAAAAAAAAGCGAAGAGTTGAAAAGCGTGACTGCACATGATTCAGCCGAAAAAGCAATCTTGTCCACAATCGGACGGGTTATCGAATGGATAGAGACGCAAAAAGAGAGAGAAGCAGTGACGCACGGAGGGAGGTGATTGACACCCGAGGAGAAAAGACAACCAGAAGCTTTGTCTTGGTGTGGATTCGCTGGCGATCGTCGCAAAGCAAAGCACAGCAAAGCGAAACAAAAAAACGGGCGTCAGACGGAAAAATCACGGCACACGTTCCAAATAATAATGTCTTGGCTTTGAACAAAAACCACGCAGATAACCAGGTTTGTTTGAGTCTGCCGCTTTTTTTTTTTATTTTATTATTATTTTTTTTTGGTTGATCTTCCGGTTCCGAGCTGTGTCTTGCTCACATTACAAAAACAAAAATCCGACTTGATCACTGAAATTGAAAGAAGAGGCGAACAAACTAAAAAAAAAAAAAACCTACTCGTTCAAAAATGCAATAACGCATTGTCACTCTTTCAAAACGGAAACAATGCTGAGTTCGCGCATTGAAAAAAAAAAAAAAGAAAAAAAAAAAAAAGTCGTGATTTTTAGCACTGAGCGCACGGGCTTCAAAAGGCAGATATGAGCAACGCATCGAGTGTGCATCATCGGAAGCATAGAACAACAAGAGAGAAGCAAGAGAGAAAGAGAGCGAGAGAGAGAGAGCATTAAGGGAATGATGCACTGTGTTTGATGATCACTCAGTGAAAAGCTCCCATTGCAATTGCATTGAGATCTCGCTTTTTTTTTTTTTTTTTTTTTTTTTGCCTTCGTCTCTGTCTCTCTGTCGCTCTGTCTCTCGCACTGCCTGTCTCACACACTGTCTGGCCTGACGCTCGTTCCAAAACGCACGTTCCAAAACGCACGAGCATTGCGTTGGGGCGGGGATGCTTGACCCCGTGAATCTGCTCACTCACCCGCTTGAATTCTGGCAGGTCGCACACTCGTGTCTTCCGCTGCCGTGACTCGCGCTGCTGCGTGCACTGCGGCGCCGGTGGCTGCAGTCAAGGCCGCCGCTGCCGTGTCTGCTGGTGTCAGCGCACCACAGCAGGCTCGATCGATCGCCACTGCGGCGTCGGTCGCTCGCGCCGCTCAGGAGGGCCGCTCCATCCAGGAGCGCATCGCCGAGAAGGTCACTGCCGCCAAGCTCGGCGGTGGTCAGGATCGCATCGACAAGCAACACAAGCAGGTTTGTGCTCATCCCATTGCAATAGTGGCATATGGGACAAGATGAGGCGGCTCGTGTGGAAGCTCACGCTTGTTTCTGTTCGATTTGCTTTTGCAGGGCAAGCTCACCGCTCGCGAGCGTCTGGAGGTCTTGCTGGATCCCGGGTCGTTCCGTGAGTACGACATGTTTGCCGAGCACAACTGCACCGATTTCGGCATGCAAAAGGTAACAACAAAAAGCCATAAATGCGAAAAACAAAAAAACAAACGAAAAAACAAAAAAAACCGTGCCGTTGCTCACCCGAATCACACTGCCCCCCCCACCTCAACCTCATCTCCTTGTAGTACACTGGTGATGGTGTCGTGACTGGCCATGGCCGCATCAACGGCCGCCTGGTCTACGTGTTCAGCCAGGACTTCACCGTGTTTGGCGGCTCGCTGTCGAGCGCTCACGCCAAGAAGATTTGCAAGATCATGGACAAGGCCTTGCTTGTGGGCGCGCCCGTCATTGGCCTGAACGACTCTGGCGGTGCTCGCATCCAGGAGGGCGTCGAGTCGCTCGCCGGCTATGCCGACATTTTCCAGCGCAACGTCGATGCGTCCGGCGTCATCCCGCAAATCTCAGTCATCATGGGCCCGTGCGCAGGCGGCGCCGTCTACTCGCCGGCCATGACCGACTTTGTCTTTATGGTTCGCGACACCTCGTACATGTTTGTCACTGGTCCCGATGTGGTCAAGACCGTCACCAACGAAACTGTCACCCAAGAGGAGCTCGGTGGTGCCAAGACGCACACTGCCAAGTCCGGTGTCGCCCACCGCGCCTTTGAAAACGACATGGAGGCGCTCCAGCGACTTCGCGAGTTTTTCGACTTTTTGCCGCTGTCGAACAAGGACGCCGCCCCCGTCCGCGCCACCGCCCTCGTCGACCCCAGCCGCCCCGTGCCTGCGCTCGACACGCTCATTCCCTCTGACAGCCTTCAGCCCTACGACATGAAGGAGGTCATCCACAAGGTCGTCGACTTTGAGCACTTTTTTGAGCTCATGCCCGACTATGCCAAGAACCTCATTGTTGGCTTTGCTCGCATGAATGGCCGAACTGTCGGTATCGTCGCCAACCAGCCTCTCGAGGCGTCTGGCTGCCTGGACATCAACTCGTCCGTCAAGGGCGCTCGTTTCGTCCGCTTCTGCGACGCCTTCAACATCCCGATCATCACCTTTGTCGACGTCCCCGGCTTCCTCCCCGGCACCGCCCAAGAGTACGGCGGCATCATCCGCCACGGCGCCAAGCTCCTGTACGCCTACGCCGAAGCCTCCGTGCCAAAGATCACCGTCATCACGCGCAAGGCGTACGGTGGTGCTTACGATGTCATGAGCTCCAAGCACCTTCGCGGTGATGTTAACTATGCCTGGCCCAACGCTGAGATTGCAGTCATGGGTGCCAAGGGCGCCGTCTCCATCATTTTCCGCGGCCAGAAGGATATGGGTAAGCGCCAGAGAGTTCTTTTGCTTTTTTTTTTTTTGGGTTTGTTTTGAGGTTGATTGTTGTTGTGACAGCGACTCACTATTTGTTTCTCTCCGCCTCTGCCCTCACACAGCTGCTTCCGAGAAGGAGTACATTGAAAAGTTCTCCAACCCCTTCCCCGCTGCTCAGCGAGGCTTCATCGACGACATCATCACTCCGTCGACTACTCGCGAGCGAATCATTGAGGATCTCACTGTGCTCGACACCAAGGATTACCAGGGCCACAAGAAGAAGCACGGCAACATCCCGCTCTAAATTTCGCACAAAGGCGGCCTTGTTGCTGGTCGCCAATTTTGATCGTTTGGGTGTGCATTCCTTTCTTGTCACAAATCTGAAGTTTCTCCTTGTTTTATTCTTCGTTTCCAACGAGACAAGGTACATGTTGAGCAACCTAGCAAAGCAATGAGATTTTGAAGCGATAATGATACAAATGTTGCTGGAGATACTACTGAATGCAGCAATTGCGTTGCGGATCATCACTGTGCGGGCAAAAAAATCACTCACGGTTAGATTTGACCTGTGTAACAAAGCATCTCAACAGTCTGCATGTGCTACATACCTAGGACGGTCGCGAAGGCGGCGTGCAATTGGCTGTCCATTCAAATCCGTACTACGACGCTCGTCCAAGCTGCCAGCTTCACTTGCAGCGCGAACAGAGCGTCGCGGTGGCGAGTCTGTGTGGTGTTGGGGGTGGTGAGTGCCGTTGGAGAGCTTGGCGGATCGCTTGTCAAGATCATTGCCCAGCTGTTTCAAATGTTGAGGCGTCAGACCCTTGCGTGACGGGGTTGCTTGTGTTGAGGTTGTAACTGCTGGTGTCGTGACGGCTTGCCGACGACTCAGGGAAGCTGGTGTACTGCTGTTGTTGTTGCGATGATGATGCGGCAACGGCTTTGTCGTGGGTGTCTTTGTATTGGGCGAGGACGGTCGTTTCATCTTGGATTTGGACGCACTGACGCCGACAGAGTGCTGGTCGGACTCTTCTGGCTCGACTGAATCGCTCTCGCTCTCATCATCTTGATCATGATGGCTGTCGCTGTCGGACGTTACCTGTCCTCGCGAGTTGGCTGCAGCGGCAGCCGCCGCGGCGAATGCTAAATCCGCTGCTTTTCGGTAGTCGGCGTCAAACTCCGTCTCGACAAGATGGGCGTGCTCGGGCGCGAGGAGCTGGACCATCCGCTGGAACATGTCCAAATGCGTCGTCATCAAGTCAAACTTGAGCTTCTCGCGACGCTTGACGCGATCGCACAAGACGCGCAGCTGCTCGAGGTCGCGGCGAATGTCGGCGCGCAGGATGCGACGCTCAGTGCCGTCCAATGCCAGTGCGTGGTAGCGGTCAATCAGCGTGGGTCGACGAAGTGCTGGCAAGAGCGGGTGGCCGTTCCTGGCTCGCTTCTTTTCAATCCAGAACGCCACGACAGCAAGCACCACGTCAAGTGGAGCGCGCGTCTTGACAGCAATGTGACCAACGCGCACAAAGCGCAACAGCTCGTGCTCGCAGGTGGGAGGAAGGAGCGCGGTTCGGAAGGGAAACTCGAGTCGCACCCGCCATGGCAGAGTGGTGGCCATGTTGTGTGTCGAGTGGGACGTGAGCGCGTTGATGGACATTGGGCAGTTTTCGGCCTTGCACACGTAGGCGGACGGGCCGAGAAAATGGAAAAAGGCCGCATCCACGTATTCGACCGTGTTCGTAGCAGCCAGGGTGTCTGGCTGCGCCGCTGGAAGGAAGGGCTGCAGCATTTCTTGCGCGGCGTCGGGCTCTGACAATCGAATGCGCTTGCTAGCCATGAGGAACTTGCGCTCTCGTTGTGCTTGTTGTTTGGTGTGCTTTTTGCTCATCCGGATGTGACGGCTGGATGCTGTGGGGACGGTGCCATGCACCACGCTGGCGAGGTCCAAGAAGCCGGCCATCCAACGGGAGACGCCGTGAGGTTGATTGCTGTCGTCGCTAGAGCCGAGGACGTAGCGAACACCATCGTCCTCGTCCATGGCGGTCTCGTTGTCGCCAAGGTTGCTGCCGTCGTCGTTGTCTTCGTCGTCGTCTTCGACGTCTGCCAGGCCACTGGTAGTGCTCTCGTTGCCATCCTCCTCCTCCTCGTCGTCGTCGTCTAGCTGCTCGCCAAACGTGTACTCTTCTGGCAGCTTGTACTTTGTTTCAGGCGAATCAAACTGGTCGTTCTCGTCATCGTCGGAATCATCATCAGCATCATCGTCGTCATCGTCGTCATCATCCTCATAGCCTGCGTTGGGCTGCTGGTCGGCGCGCAAGTTCAGGTCGTCGTCAAAGTCGTCTTCAGCGCCACTACCAACGACATCAATGTGATCGGAAACATTGCTGCTGCTGGTGCTGCCAGCATCATCATCGTCCTGCTCATTGTCGTCGTTGTGGATGGGATGGCTCCGAATACTGCTGGCGATCGAGCGTGCAGCGGTCTTGCTAGTGGCGGCGCTGTTGCTGCTGCGCTGGAGCTGGAAGAGCGTTTGAGGCGAGAGCATGTACCGCGCCGAGTCGTCGTCGACAGCGCTGGCCAAAGCACGAACGCGGTTTGCGTTGCCAGGCGTAGTGGCACGCGAGGGAGTCGTCGGCGCGGGTGCGACGGCAGACGTCTTTTTTCGTGGCGAAGCGCTTGGAGGTCGGCGAGCAGTTGCGTTGCTGTTGCTGTTGCTGTGTGTCGATGCTCGCTGCTGGGAGTAGCCCCGAGCCGCGCCGCGGATGTTGGCCAAAATCGCTCGCTGGTACTCGCGATCTTTGGCTGTCGCCGAGTCGGCTGTGGAGCTGGCGTCGTCGTTGAAGGTGACATCGCCCGTGGCCGATCGCAACAGCAGGTCGTGCGTCACCGGCTCGTCGTTCTGGCCGTAAAGGTTGTAGGGGTCGTCGAGCACGTCGCCGTTTTCGTCAAGAAATTCGGGCTGGAAGGCTTTGGGCACACGAGACCAGTCGTGTTTGCCGTGGGCTTGCATTTCGAGCATGGAGATGATTTGCTCGAGCGTTTGCGTGCTGAGCACGTAGTTTGGGTTGGACGCCACAAGCGCACCATTTGACGCGGCGACAGCGGCTCGTAGTTTGGCAGAGTGAGCAAACGAGGACACGGCCGCCAAAAGTGGATCTGGCGACGCGTCGTCATCGGCTTCCGCAGAGCTGGATCGCCGGCGCTTTCGATTATTCGTGGTCGATGACTTGTTCGCTTGCGCTGCTGCTGCTGCTGGAGGAGGAGGTGGTGGTAGTGCGTCGGAATTGCGCGTGACGCGGTCGAAATTGAACTCTACCCGCCGCCGTTCCTTGTTGAACAGTGCCAGCCATGCCGTATCCGTCTCGTCGAGATCATACAGGGCATACGGGTTGTGCAGTGCATTTTCAAACTCGATATACATTGGAGGGCGCTTGTATGGATGCCCCGAGCTGGTTGGACGAGTTGTTGCCGCAGCGACCCATCGTTTCTGTTTTGGCAGTCGGAAGTGAGGACACCTGACTTTTTAGTACAAAATACAAGAAACAAATGAAATGGCGACCCATACCCTTGATTTCGTTGCACCGGCTGCCTCCAAAGCGTCATGCAGCGTGCCAGGCGCCATGACGACCGCTGGAAATACTGAAGTTGACGGGACTGTTCCAGAACAAAAAAAATCAAGCAAAAATTCGGACGTTAAATGCCAATGATGGAGACGATGAGTTGATTCAACAAAAAGCCAACGCCGAATCTCTGCGAAAAGGAAAGTTCGAACAAGCTGCATTTTGGCGGGAAAAATTTGAAAAAGCAGCGAGATCGTTTTTTTTTTTTTTTTTTTTTTTTTTCCCCCGCCAGCACAAAGCCAGCGACCAGACCCGCAGCGACCAGGTCCTCATGCCCAGTGTCAAACCACAAACACAGTGGCCCATATGGGTCGACTGGGAGTCCCTCACGACATCAGGTTGGAAAAGACAACCTATCATTGGATTCTTCGACTTTTTTTTTTTTTTTTTTTTTTTTGCTGAAAAACCATTGCCAATGGAAAATCCAATGAACCAATGAAAAATCCAATAAATCCCGTTTTTTTTGTTTGAATTTGCATTAGAAAAATTTTTTTTTTTTTTTTTTTTTTTTTTTTTTTTTTTTTTTTTTTTTTTTCCCCCGTTGAACAGCGCTGCCTGCTTTTTGCCCGCCATCGATTCGCTGTTTCGCACTTTCGCACGGTTGACAAAGCACTCGAAAGTCCTGCTGTTGGTCTGGTTTTGGGCGGCTGGAGAGCACCGTTTGGAAACCCAGGCGCAACCTCACTCACTCAAACCTCGACCTCGACCCTCCCTTCCTCCCCTTCCTCCAGCCACATCCACATCAGCCAAGTTCAGCATGCCCCCCCCCTTTGGTAACAAACCAAGCGAGGGGTCTTGCTTGTGGACCAACTCTTGCTTTACCTTGGACGGGGTTGTTGTACTCGTTGCGCCACTTGTCCGAGACGACAATCGTGTCCTCGAGCACCTTGTCATCCGGCACAGTCATCTGCGAGATCAGCGCCATGCTAAACACCTCGACAGCCTCGCTGTGGCCGGACGGACGGCGGGCGGCTGCGGCAGCAGAGGACGACGCTCCTGAGCCCTTGGTACTCGAGCTGCCTGTTCCTGCTGCTGCTGCTGCTGCTGTTGCTGCTGCTGTTGTGCGTGATGATTTGCTATTGCTAGCACTGGTACTGCCGCTGGTGCTGGAGCTGGCTGGCTGGAGCGGGATGTTGCGCCCGCCAATCTTAATCCCAATGGCTGCAGCGACCTCCATTGCCATGCGCAGCCGGTCGCGCATCGCACGGCTCATCTTCTTGTGCGAGCAGGCCATCCTGGCAAGCCGATCGAGCGACGGGCCCGTCGGCACTGCAGTCACTGCGGCGACGTGCTCTGCGCTCATTGTTCGCGCGGCAGCCAGCAATCGCTGCTCGACCGACGCCGACGCCGACGCCGACGCCGACGCCCCTGCAGCTGCTGTTGCACCATCACGGTGGGCTGCAGGCGTTGCTGCTATTGGCGTGTGGTGCGCGGCGGGGTTGGATTTCACCATCACACTGTATCCGTTTTTTTCGCTGCTGCTGCTTCGACCTTTGTTCCTTCGATCGTCAGTGTTCTAGTGTTGTGTTGCTGAGCAGGCGTGTTTGTCAAGAGAAGAGCTGCAAAACAGATAGAAACAAAAACAGATAAAAAAAATGACGAGCTCTGAGAAAATAAGAAATAAAAAAGACTGAAACTGAAGCTTGAGAACTGAGATTTTGAGCTGAATGCGTAATTTCACTCGCATTGCACACATGTGGAAGAGTTTCGTTGGATTGATGCGGTGATGCACGATACATGTACTGGCCATGTTCAACTCAATGCAACTTCCATACAAAACCCATTTCCATTCAATTTCCAATGCAAAACCAGTCGTCCTTCACTTGACTTCACTCCCTTTGTTTTATTTTCCAAACCCCCCTTCCCACTTTTATTTTTCAACAATCATGCTCGGATGGCTGCTGCCCTTTGACAGCACCCTTGCGAACGGTGTTCTCATCTATGCGAGCCTGGTTGCGCTGAGCTGGCTCTACCGCCGCCTCGTCGCACGCCCGGGCCTCGCGCACTTCCGCGGCCAGCACGTCTTCATCACCGGTGGCAGCCAGGGACTGGGCCTGTCGCTCGCAGCCAGCTTTGCGCGCCTCGGAGCGAACGTCACGATCGTCTCGCGCAAGCTGGACGTGCTCAACCAGGCCAAGGCCGAGATTGTCAAGCGCTGCTCCGCCTCACCAGGCAACGTGGCAGATCGCGTGCTGCCCCTGGCGTGCGACGTCACCCAGTTCGAGCAGGTCGAGAAGGCCGTCGCGCAGGCCGCCGCCCACTTCAAGCAGCCAGTTCACACGCTCGTTGCGTGCGCGGGATCCGCCATGCCGGGCCGGTTTGTCGACCAGTCCGTTGACGACATCAAGCGCATGATGGACCTCAACCACCACGGGTGCGTCCACGCTGCCAAGGCCGTTGTGCCCGGTATGCTGGCAAGCTCCGCCAAGGGCCGCACGCTCGTCTTTGTCAACTCGGGTTGCGGTCTCACCTGCTTCTACGGCTATGCCGGCTACTGCGCGTCCAAGTGGGCACAACGCGGCTTTGCAGAGGCGCTTCGGTAACACACACACAATAACAATGTCGTTAGCAAAATCGTGCCATTCAATCTCTCATGTCTGTTTTTCTCTGTTTGGCTTTTGTTGTCACTCGGCGTGCTAGCAACGAGCTCGTAGCGGACGGCGTCCGCGTCTGTGTGTACTATCCTCCCAATATGGACACGCCTGGCTTTGTCGAGGAGAACAAGACCAAGCCGAAGGTGACGGCCGAAATTGAAGGCTCTTCGGGTATTCTGACGTACGTTTCGACGTGTACTGGTTGTACTTTTGTTGATACCAGTGATTATGTCAAGAGAGAACGATCTGCGAGGAACCGGAGAAGATGGGGGCGGGGGCGGCGAGAAACACTGTTCTCACAGCAGCTCGTGTTGGTTGCGTTGTAGGCCCGACCAGGCTGCGGCGATTCTCATGGAAGGCCTTGCCAGTGGTAAGACCATCGTTCTTCGAAACTGCATGAAAGGCCTTTGAAGAAAAATCTTGCAACTCAGGCGCTTTTGACATTTTCGTTTCCCTTCTCGGGCAGGCAACGATGCCGTGACTGCCGATCCACTTTCCGAGCTGGCACGCATCCAATCGGGCTCCAACGCTTCCCCGCTCAACGTCTTCCTTGATCTTGCCATTTTGCCAATCTCCCGCATTGTCTGGACTGGCGCCTACTTGTTCATGAACCACGTCGTCCGATCTGCCCATCGACAGCAGCAGAAGCGCGACTAGAACATCTTCTGCGTGTGAATAGTTCTTTGGGTGCTTCTGTGGTCGAAGCGTGCCAAAAGTTCCAACTGTGTTGACTCTTTGTACAAGTCGACCAAAAAGAAAAAAAAAAGTGCGCTCAGTCCAATTTCCTCCCTGTTTGGCCTGTTTTTGTCATTTTGCTCATTTTTTTTGCCGATATTTCTTCCGATGCGAGGACCATCCGCGTTTCTAGCACACTTTGTGATGCGCCTTCTTGCGCCATGGCTCGTGCCAATGTCGACGGTCGATGGTGTGCACATCGATCTGTGGCGAGGTGAGGAGACCGTTTGCGTTTCCTCTTTTGCCCCCAACCCGATTGTTTCCAGAGCGATATTGCCACGACACTGCGTTGATAAGAGCAGCGCATTGCAGAAGTTCATTGTCTTGCGAAAGTGAACTAAATCAGCAACCTTCAAGAAGAAAAAAAAAGATGTGCTGGTTTTTTTTTTTTTTTTTTTTTTTTTTTTTGGCTGAACTTGAACGCAAGTCACAGTCGTTTTGCACTTGTGACTACGACGCACCTTTCCTGCGCATCCTCCCTTGGATGGAATGACTCACGATCTTGAATACAGGGCTCATCGAGCTGCGGCACATGCGCCTTCAAGAGTCCATTCTCGAGTCGCTTGGCGTTGAACTTTGTCTTCTTGAAGGTAACGGATTTTTTGTCACCACGTCGTACTTTGTGATTGTGCTCGTCCTACTGTCACGAGAGCCCGAGAGCCCAGCTCCACCTGCAGTTTAGACGGTTACAGTTTGCAACAATCAGATCCCATCTTGTGCTCATTCATTCTTGGGATTGGAGGTGCTGTAGGTGGTGTCGATCTGGTCTCAGTCCACACGAAATGGAGCATCATCGGTTGGCTCTTTCGAAAGCGACCCTTTCTTCAAGAAATCAGAGTCCGAGTCAAGAATGTCACGCTCCTCGCAGGCCCAGACACGCGGTTCCAGGTCGGTAATAATGGACGAGGGAGAAGGAGCGGGTGGAGTATCAAAAAGTCGTTTCTGAATGTTCGTTTGTTTTCGTTTTTGTTTTTTCAACCAGACCAAAACTCGTGCTGCTCACATTGAAGCTGCCCCGCCATCCTTTGTTCGTGCCAAAGTGTCTCAAGGTTTGCTCGTGTTCATGCTCGTCCGAGTGCCTGCTCGCACTTTCCTTCCTCATTTTGGTTTGTTTTAGTGATTGTTCCAAAGTTGTACAGCGCGCTTCAGCGTGTACTCTATCAGCTCGCGCGCATGGTGGGGCGTGCCCTGAGGCTCCAAGTAGACAACTGCCACATCCGTTATGAGACGGATCTTTTGAATTCGACAGTGAGTCAGCCGTTTGGCTAGTCCGTGCCGTTGTGCTGTTGTTGCACTCACTTTTCCATCATTTTCTGAACGCGAACACACTTTCTTTGCCTACAAAATCACAAAGCCATCCTTTGCAGTTGGTGGCATCTTGGGATCACTCTCGCTGCAAGATTCGGATGTCGCAGATTCTACCGCTCATTCCAGAACCTTTTCCAAGGTGATTTTTGTGTTTTGTTTTTGTTGGCTGTTCGACCGTGTTGTTCGAGCAATGCAGGGTTCAGAGAGACACTCACGTCGTCTTTTCTTTCTTTTGGTCGACTGTCGTGGGTTGCACCTGTAGCTGGCCGTCGCCAATTCCATTGCATTGTACTGGGACAACGACGGCGGTCTTTTACAATCGCTCTCAGACCCACACCATGGACTGGCCAATAATGTAACCGTGCTTGCTTGAAAAACCGCGGTTGCGAATTCTACATCTCCCCTCACTTTTGTGCGAGTTAGTTTACAAACCCCAACATGAAGCCAGAAGAAGCGTTTGCCGCTCGCAAGAAACACGCCTTTTTGATCGAACCCTTCCAGGCTTCAGTGCAGGTATGGCGGAGCACGGAATGCGCCTTGCAGTATGGTTACCAGTTGCACTCATCCAGCCGGTTTGGTACTACCTTTTGTTACATTCACAGCTATCGGCCGCTCCGCACTTGGCTCACTCGGCGACTGCCCGCATCTCTGCCATGAGCGATAGCCTGCCTCAACCGGAGCCGCCGATGACCCCAACCGTCACCGTCCCCGTTCGTCGCCCAGGCAAGCGGTCATCAATCAGCACAGACAAGTCCTCCGACACGACAGAAAGCGGCATTGTCGCTTCAACAGTCACAGTACCCGGAAACACGCTGCTCCTGCCACCGCCTCCCACCCCACAGACAGCGGACAAAGCAGCTGCTGCCACAACCACACCAAATGGCAGTACGGTTCCAAATACTGCCTTGGTCCAGGCCGGTTGCGTGATGTGCAAGTGCACTGTTGGTCAAATCCAGTCGTCAGTGACCTCCACCCAGGTGGCCAACCTGCTCCGCTGCCTCGACTTGCACACACGACTCGTTCTCATCCGCCGCAACCTGCACTTGCGGCCCACGCGTCTGCCACCTCAATCCACCTTGATCAAAACGCCCGAGCAAGCGTTCACGCAGTCATGGTCTCCCTCGATGCGGCATTACCAGGGTGTTTGTGACTGGAGCGCGCCAGACCAAGTGCTTGCTCGGGACGCGTACGCCCGCCTCCGTTGGCAGTATGCCATTTCAGCAACTTTGGCCACGTTGCGAGAGCGCAAGCGGACATACTCTGCAGCCAGCATCCATTCTTACATGGAGCGGCGCCGACAGTACATTGGTCGCTACATTCAGCTTGGATTGCACCTGGACACTCATCATCGCGATCCAGCACTTGTCGAGCTAAACGCCGGCCTGTCACTTTGTGATGCTGTGCTGTTTCGTCAACTTGCTGACATGACGTTAGCTCAGCGCCAACGAGAGGCGCAGGCCGCTGCTGCTGACCAGCACAAGCGCGCTGCGACAAGTTCGAAACAGACAGCAACCAGCAACGCAGCGTCTTCGTATTCTTCGACGAGTAACGCCGCTTTGGGTGAGGACGGCGACGTGTCCGCTTTGGCTGCGGCTGCTCGCCGAGCTTCCACCAGACCATTGTCAGCCATGCACGAGGAAGAGCGAAGTGTTACCAACCGAATCTTGTACTTTTTGGCGAGCCTATGGCCAGGCTCAAGTCAATGGACGCTGTACTCGACACTTCACTTGCTCCCGGCTCTGACATCGCCAGAGCGACCGCTTCTACTGGTCACGTCCCCAACTCTGGCATCCGCACCCAGCACACCCGGCACAACCTCCCCAGCTGGCGCAGCCAACTCGACCAATGCACTGGCCGCGGGTTGGACCTGGATGGTCCAGCCCGACGAGCTCGATACTGCACAGGTGCCGAGCGCGGCATTCACGCTGTCTGGCCTTTGGCTGGAGGTCGAGTTCAACTTGCGCTCGCTCAGTCTGGTGGTGCTGGATGACTCCCGACGGCCTGACAGGCAGGTATCGGACGCGCAGCCCAGCTCCTCGTCCATTCCCGTCGTCGACACCGACACCGCGGCCTCCGAAACTGGCCGCGTAGTGGCTCACTTTGCCCTCAACCACTTGCTGCTTCGAGCGTCGCAGTGCCGATCCCTCAACCACCTGTTGTACGAAGCTTCCGTGGGCACCGTGTCTCTTATGGACTGGCACACTCAGAATGCCTGCATGCGCGACATTTTCTTGCTTAGTAATTCTGTTCCCGCCGTCGGCACGCTCCCGGCACTCGCGTCTTCCTTCCCGCAACACTCGTTTCTCCTTGGTTCAACGCAGCCCACTGCGGGCGCACCCATCGCCGACAACACTCCGCTCCTTCACCTGTTGTTTGAGCACAATCCGCTCGTCTTTTTACAAGACTATCGTGTCGAGCTGCAGTTGGCCCCCTCGGTGTTCACCTTCTCGGTGACGTTTGTCAACTATCTCACCGAGTTTGTCACATCTCCGGGCGATATTCATCTGGAGCAGGTGAAGAGCTTTTTCTGGGCCAGAGTCGCCATGCTCCAGGCTGCCGCTCGACATGCGCTTGATCGCGCTATCGAGTCTCAAAAGTCGGTGGCGCTCTGGGCCAATGTCCACAGCCCTGTGGTTCTTTTCCCGGCGTCTAGCGAGATGAAGCGTGCTTCGCAGCAGTTGCACACCACACGAAGCGCGGCACATATCGAGCCCACCACCACAACCACCCCCACCACCGCCACGAGCACTCGCCGCAACAGCCGACTGCTCACGCCGCTAACGCTCGAGTACCATTCACACAGCGCGTTGCCAATCCCGCGACCACCGGCCCAAGTTATGGCCGGTTCCGGGTCGGCAAGCAAGTCGCAATCTTATATAGGGCGTCGGCAAAACAAGCGCCGATATCGTAGCAATGCTCTCCTGGTCCTGCATCCAGGGCATATTCTGATGAGCAACATTTCACCAGCAGTCGCCCTCGGCGGCAATCTGCAGGAGAATTTCGAGCTCTTGCACCAGGAGCATCTCAGCACTGCAACAACCAAACAGTCCTCGACAACGCCTGCAGCCGTGACATCGCGACCGGGTGCTGGAGAAGCCTCTGGTGTGGGGTCAACAAAAGTACTTGCTGCGGCCAATAAAGAGCCGCTGCCCAGCCATCCGTCATCAGGGTAGCCCTGGCACAACAATAGCCAGTGAAGCGTTACCAACAGCCATGCCCGACACTGCTGCTGCACTGCCGCTCCTCCGACCGCGTCCGTGACTCAGCCTGGTGACGCTGCTGACATGACACCAAACATCACTCAATCCGCGATTCCTCCTCCAACCGAGATTGGCTTTGTCCCGTCGGCTGCGGCGCTTGCTGGCGACCTACCGCAACCGCCGAGCGAAAGGCCCAGCGTCCAGCAACCAGGGGTGCTCACCCCAGATATATCGCCCATCTTGATGCATCCATCGACCAGCCCGCAACATACCACGCAACAGCAACAAGCTTCCTTGCAACAACCTGCTGCCGCGCCAGCTGCTCCGGCGACTTTGCCATCGGTGTCGAAAAGCGAGGACAAACCGCCGCCGCCGTTGCCATTGCCAACCCCGAAAGCGCCAATCCCATCAGGCCACACGTCGAGGACCCGGTTGACCGAGCTGTTGAACGCTCATCACTATGCACTGGTGCTCCATGGGCTTCAGGCGGTTGTTTGCGATGTTGAAGACGACTGGCGTCAAGTGCTAAACCGCCGCTCCTCCGACAACAGCAGCAACAGCCGCAACAGCAGCAACAACACCAACAACGATAACCCTGCGGCTGCAGCAGTGTCTGCGACGCCTCGGGACCCCAAGTCTCATCCGTTGCACCTGCTGGAGCCAATGCAGATTTCGTGCATGATCGTCCAGCACTTCCCGCATTCAAGAGCACTAGGTGATGACTCGAAATCGCAAACCTTGCGCTCCACGTCGCGCCTTGCGCGATTCCAAACGCGACAACTACCTGCTCAGTCACCACTGCAAGTTGGGGTGACGGGCTCGTCCGCGACGAGCGCACTGCTTTCGTGCGAAGTGACCATCCCTACGGTTGTCCTTGCTGTGGATGAACGCAAAATCCACAGAATTCTGAGCTGGTACGAGCGCGTTGCAATGTGGTCGGACGCTGCTGGCGTGCCCAATGTCGAAGCAACGCGGCAGGTCGAGCTGTTCAACCGCCGCGCGCTCTTGGGCATCTGCACCTGCTCGATGGCTCTTCCGCAGCGCGACATCACAGCAACCGAGCTGCCTCCATCCAATTACAAAGAGTACAGTCTCTGCCCGGTGCACGGAGAGCTCAAGTACGATCCGCTCGAGCTGCCCGCTTCCGGCACCACCCTCAACGAGCTTCGACGTCTCGCCGAAAACGATCGGCGCTGGCACCGCGATCGAAGGTGTATTCCCAGTGGGCAAGCGACCATTGGACTGCACACTTTAATTGGCAGCGTCCAAATTCGCTTTGCGTTCGCCAGCGAGCTGTTGGATTTTGCCAACCTGACTCCAGGGCAGCAACAGACCCCTCTGCCGTCCGTCAACATTCCAAGCCGCACCATTGAGCAAGTGTGGACCATGAATGCATCGGCCATCTCTTGTCATTACATTGAGTTTGGCCGTCAGTGCCTCACGGCCACTGCTTCCGTTCGGGCGTTTGAACTGTTCGATAGCAGTCCAGAGCCATTCCAGTCTGAGTCGCCTGTACCTGCTGCTACAGCTACCTTTGGGAGTGCGACTCGTGACACCACCGACGACAATCCATCGCCAGTTGCGGCTCGGCGGACGTGGATCTCGAGCGGCATGGGCAACAATGGGGCCAGCAGCAGCAGCAGCAGCAGCAGCAGCAGCAGCAGCAGCGAGCAACCTTGCAACTGCCTCGAGTTGACAATGGTCTCGTTTGCCGCCGGCGTGGCGTGCGATATGAGCGCACTCATGTCAGATCCGCTCAAGTTTTCAAAGCTGTCCAAGTTCCGTAGCCAACACGCCAGTCGGGCTCGCCGCAAGTCCCTCGTCTTTCAGTCGCCGTCTGGCCCAGTGCCTCCCGCCGACGTTTCCCAGCTAGCCCGTCTGTTAAACAAGAATGCCATTCAAACGGACTTGCAGGTGGAGGCCAGAGTGGTCTCTGGCATGCTGGACATGCAGTCCTTCCTGCCGTTCTTTGCCTTTGCTCAGCGGCACCCATTCGCATTCTACGAGTTTCCCGACCTGCCCACCCTGACAGAGCTGGTGAACTCGACGCTGACGGATAGTACAAACAATCACGTCTTGCTGGTCAACCCGCGCATCGAGCAGCGACTCAGCCAGCACGCGGCTGCAAGGGGTGGTGAAGCCACGTCCATTCGTCGCTCTGTTGTGGCTGCCATGAAGTCAAGCCGCAACCTCGATGAGCGACGGTCCACTCTGGATGCCGTAGCGAGTGCGATTGCAACACCATCAACCGCAGCAACAGCAGCAACAGCAGCAACCGCATCAACCACCCCAGCTGACTCGGCTGCCGCCAACCAGCGTTCTGGCAACTTGGAAAGAAACCAGACAGCGCCGTCCACCAGTAGTGCAGGCAGTGCTGCTCAGGCAGGCACGAATCAGCCCAAACCATCCAAAGACTTGCGCACAATCTTGCGCCGCGTCGTCATGACCACCGCCTGGCCAACGTCTTCCGCAACTGAGCAAGAGTCCCTTTCATCCTCCTCTGCCAACGCGAGCGACGCACAGGACGTGAGTAATTCCCTTCTTGGGGCCGCTGTGACGACCCTCGGCGTGTTTGGAACACTGCATGTGACCATCGAAGCCGCGGACTTTGACCTCCGTGACTCGCAGGTCGCGCTGCTGCACATGCACTCTGAAGCCATGTCGACCACCGTCCGGACTGTAGCAAACACGGTTGCTGCTTCGCAAGGACCCGAAATATCGCTTGCCAAGCTTGCCACCGAAGCGGTGGTGGATTTGTCCCAAATGTTCCTGTCGTTTCCCGTGGTGCCCGACGGCTCGCGACGATACATGTTCTTCCACATGGATCGCCGGAGCAGCAACGCGGAAGCGCGCGGAACATGCTCGTTCGATCCCATCTCTTCCGATGGAAAGCCACCTCTGGCGCCTCTGCTGCGTGTGGGCGCGAAATCAGCCATGTCCGCATCCCCCATCCTCCAAGCCAACGGTGATGGGTCTCCGGCATCAGCAGAGCCTTCTTCAGACGAGCCCGATGCCTACAGCGGCGCTGCTTTCTCTGGAGCAGAAAACAGCAAAGAAGACACCTTTGCTGCTGTCGGGTTTGACAAGGTGGTCAAGACGTTGCAAAGCATCACGGCTGCCTCGTTTGACCTTGGCCACGTCGCAATCGCCGGCCACCCCCAAATTTTTGATGCCTTGTCGGGATATCTCGCAACTGCACGCACTTGGCTTCACCATCTCGAAATTGCCTCGGCGCTGGCTGCAAGGCGGCGACAGTTTCGTCGGCCCAGCCAATCGGCATCTTCTGACGACAAGTCGCAAGATCAGGCAGCCGATGTTGTGCTTTTGCACATGATTGGAATGATTCTGTCACGTTCGGATGTGAGCCTGACCATGTCGGCAGGCCTATCCTTCCCCGTCGAGTCGACGCCACTGGTGCCAAACATTTCGGCATCTGGCGACCCGCTGCACTCTCGCGAGGCCAACGACAGCAGTAGCCGAGATATCACTCCGGTCATTCTGCTGCAGACCAATCGCATTGACGTGAGCTTGGCCAAGGGTCTTGCAAGTGGCGAGGTACGCGTTTCAAGCGGCAGCACGATGCGCCAAGTTGTCGCGACCAGTCCATCTCCCGCTGAAGAAGCGAGCGCTGACGTCGATCCTGCCCTACGAGCGCTGGACACGACAGTGCTGGCATCCGTCAAGGTGATGGGGGCAGTCTTGTGTTCTGTCTATGTCATTGGCGGCTACATTTTGTCCGACCAACGGCTGTGGGCGCATGAATCGGTGCCAGCTCCGAGCCCTGCCACCATTCCGAAGCGTGTCAATTCTTCTCGCATGATTCACCGCTCGCTTCTGATGCCGCTCTCAGACATCGACCTGTTGGTAGCGCTTGCATTTACAGCATGTCGCGTGGTTGACCGTGACGAGCTGAATGATGACGACAGCCTGCTGGGTTCCGACGATAGCCAAGCGTCCGACAGCGAAGACGACGTGGCGGCCCTGATGCGCCTCCAAGGCAGCCCAAAGGGACCAATTCTGTATCTGCTCACGCGGGTGACCATGAGCTGCTCGCTGCCGCCGCTTCTCATGCGCTTGACCAACATTACCCTGGCGCACGCATTGTACGCTGTGAACGCGCTGATCAAGCTGATTCAGCTCACCGTGTTGGGAGGGACTCTCCCGCCTGTGCACATGAAGTGGCACGCGCTCAAGGGTGGCGATGCCTCGTTTGTCCTGCGTCCACAAGGTGTTTCGCTCTCCAAGCAGGGCGACAGCCTGCAACCCAAGACGCTGCACGAACTGATTATCTTGTATCAGTTTATGCGTATCGCTTTGCTGAGCAGCAGTCGCGGACATCAGATTCAGTTGACGATGGAAGATGGCACAACTCAGCCAAACGCCGACCTTCCACCCTGCCCCGAGGCCTCGTCCGCATGGCAGCATTCCATGCTAGACACTCAGCACTTTGGCTCCGAGGCGCGAACGAGCGAGTCTTCAGTCACTTCTGAGGAATCCACGGCTCCTGACGACAATAATGGAAAAGACGCCGCTGACAGCGACACTGACAGCGACACTGGAGAAGACGAGCAGATCGAGAGCGAAGCACGCAGGCAGTTCCGACTCGCAAAGAGGCGAATTGTCGAATGCATCGGCAGCCAAATGGCCAGTACTGCGGATCGCATGGCGCGGGACGGCACGACGATCGCCCCGGTCGCAGTTGCCAAGAGAGCTCAGCGCATGTGGACGGACATTGCTTCGACAGTCAAGCAGCGCGGAGGTGCTGGTTTAAACAACACGCAAGGAACCGCGGATGCCCCCGCCGCCCCCGCCGATGCCGTGGAACAAGTCGAGCCCAGCAGCAATGTGCAGGATCCACCGCGGTCCCAACAGCAAGTTCCGCAGAATGGCGCTGCTCTGCCAGCTCGCAAAAAGACAGTCACGTTTAGCGACACGGCAACCACATCCCAGGCAACTGTCGAGCCCTGCTCTCCCGTCCGCCCGCTCGACTTGAAGTATCGCAAGTCGCCAGGCTACAAGACCATTCGACACTACGAGGCGGCTTCGTATGCGCTTGCATCCACGATGGACTTTTCGTTTACGATGCACTTTAAAATGCTCGATATTGTCCTGGCTGTTGATCAAACAACCGACATTCCCTCGAAAACAGTCACGGACATTTGTCGAGTGTTGCTGTCCGACGCTCTGCTGGAGATTCTGGTGGCGTCTGCGCTGAGCGACACCCCGCTCCGGCGCGAAATTCAAGCTTCTGCCAGCCAGTCAGACAACAACAGGGATGATAGTGCTTCACACGATGGCTCACTGTCGGCGGACGCACCGGCAATCCCAACTATCACGTCCACCGCTCCGAAATCGGCCGAACCAGACTCACAGTATCGCGTCTCCTTGGCCGGAATCAAAGCTGTAGATCTTTCCAGTGCGAGGCAAGGAAGCGAGCACTCTGTGGTGCTGCAATCCGGCCAGCAGTCTGAGATTGCCATCTGGGAGCAGCACTTCCCTGACGACATGAGCAAGCGCTCTTCGCGGTGCAGCGAAAACTCGCGCATGCAGCCGCACTTTCTGTGGAAGGGCCAAGGAACAGTGTCCAGCGAGCTCTTGTCCTTGTACCACTGGCCGCCGTGTTCGCGGTTGCTGCACATGCCTCTCATCCGCCACCGCTTGCCTGAGCCCGATGATGGCGCTCAAAGGCCATTTTTGGTCTTCTCCGCCACCATGTTTGCCGACAACCGCATGGCGTTGTGCGTTCTCACCTCCGACCTGCAGTCCAGCATCTGCGGTTCCTTCCTTGGCCGAATCGGCTGGTTTGCCATTGACACGATTACCGAGCTGACGTCCGTGGACTGGTTTTGGTCATCTGCCAGCCAAACCGAGCTTGACAGCTCCAGGCCAAGCGTCGACAACACCGCCCATCTGCCAACAACAGAGCAGCCCGATGCCCTGACGTCCTCCGTCTCCGACGCGTCGTCGTGCGAGAGCCCCTTCACAACATTCAGCTTGGCGGTCTGCATTCCATCCATCACAGCGCGCGTGTACGAGCGCACCGTTTGCCGCAATTCGTTTTTGCAGTATGCCGAAGTTCGTGACATTAGTCTGCATTGGCGTGACATCCAGTGGACTCCAGGCACGGATGGCAAATCAGTCGGCGACTTGCCTCCATCCTTTGCGATCGCCTCGCTCAACTTTGTCGAGTTGCGATCCTTCAATGCGCTCCAACCCTATTCAACCATGTCGCGCGTTGTCAGCGAAGCCACAGTCAAGTATCAGCTGTTGTATTCTGGCGAGCAGAGTGCGCAAGTCCTCAAGAATTCCGGAGGGGCTGCCTCAAGTGGGGCCGACAATCAGGAGGCTGAGCAGCAGCAAGGCGAGCAAGCCGAAACCGTCACGCAATCCGACTTTGCCGACGAGGACGCTTATGAGAGCAAGTCAGAGCTTCGGATTAGTCCACTGAGAATCAAAGTTGGTTATCGCGACATGCGCTTTTTGATGACCATTGCCAACGATGCCTGGCTGGGCTACTCGAGTCCCCAATTGTGCGATCTCCCGCGCTGCAAGGACGGTGTGGCAGAGTCGGAGGATGCTGCCGCGAGTAACGCGCAGGGCACTTCGTCTGCCATGCTCCAGGGGCTGCACGAGTACGGCTTGCAGCCTGTCGTGCCCAACCGCTGGTACTTGCACCTGCGCGAGGAGCAGTCCAAGCACGCCTTTCTCCACAGGCATGACCGCCACGGGCACATGCGTCGTCGATGGGCAGCGTCCGTGCCAGCGTCCAATTCCAGCAGTCTGACGTGGTTGGTGGACAAGGTGGAATTGAGTTTGGTCGACGACAGCGCCTCCAAACCGATGCCCATGGTCTCGTCGGTGGTGAGTTTGACGGGCTCCTTCCGCGACTGGTCTTCGGTGCTGAACGGTCGTGTCACGATTGGTGTCATTGCCTCCTACTTTAACCACGAAATGACGTGCTGGGAGCCGTTGCTCGAGCCTATTCGCACTTCTCGCGGTCAACTGCGTCCGTGGATTATCAACGCCGCGGTGTTTAAGGATTTGCAAGACCTGAGCGGGCCGCTGCACGTGTCGCTTCGAGCGTACGACCGGCTGGAGCTGACTGCCTCGCCACGCTTGTTGAACTTTTCGCTGTTGATGCTCGAGGCCCTCGAGCGCGACGCCATGCTGCTCAATGCCAGTGGGAGACAACAACCACCAACAACGGTCGGACAGCAGCAAGATGCACCCTTCCCTGAACGACCTCGCGCGCAAAACAACCGTCTTCGTAACCACACGGGGTTGCCGCTCCTGCTCGTGCAGCAGTCGAGCTACGACGAATCCCTCAGCATCCGCGTCGAGCCTGACGCCGAGGTCATGCTCGACATTGGCAACAACAGCATGGAGCTGTTCCCCGATCACCTGCTTCTTTTGCGCGGGACCACGGCCACGCGGGTCTCGGTCGGATTTGTGGATGGAGCGTGGAAGGAGGTGGAATTCATTCCCGTGGACAAGGTCGGCATTTTCACGTTTGAAATGGAGCCCGTCCCGACAACGATGGAGCTCGTTGCGCAAGCTCGATGGAAAGCGGCCGCTTCGTCGCCGCCTCAACCGCAAGGCACAGCAAATGCAAATCTCCAGCAGCAGGTGACTCCGTCGACACCCAGCTCATCAGCTGCGCTACCTTCCTTGTGGTCGCGCAAGCCATTGAAGACTGCGCAAGACCAGGCCGCTCAGCATGCCCAAGAGGTCGGCGAGTTTCGCAATTCCCTCCTTCGCCTGGCTGGCTGCCCGGAACGGCGTGCCGGAGCCCGCCTGGTTTGCGAAGTGACCATGGTCGAAGGCGTGCGCATTGCCACTCTCCGATCTGCCCACATGGTTGTCAACACACTTTCCGTCCCTCTAGAGCTCAACGTTACTGCCACCTTCCGTGCTGGATTCGAGCTGTCTCTCGATGATCCCGACGAGTCGCTGAGTGTGGCAGGCGGTCGACGCTCGAGCTCGCACCAGGTTCGTGCCCTCTCCACTCCTCCTCGGCGCGTCTCTGCTTCCGACTCTGAGCACAAGGACTCTGGAGATTCAAAGCGAATCTCCACCCCATTGGATATCACGGATCCGTCGGCAAACCTGCCATCCACCTCCTCGAGTTCTCCGACGCCAGGCCACTCTCACGCAACCGCGAGTATGCTCCGCATGGGCGAGCTGATTCACTTTGCGGGTCGTTCTGGCGCCGAGGATGGTGGAATGGCCATTGGTATCAGGCGGGCGTCGACCCAGTTTATCATCCAACTTCTTCCGGCGGGAACGTATGCCATCCCTCTGAGGTTGTGTGCCGCCGATTGCCTGGTTCAGCTGACGGCGCGCCCGCAGGCACCATGTCTCGAAGACCCGTCTCAATTCCGGTGGAGCTCGCCATTCGGGTTTACGCTCTCGCCGCAAGCGTCGTCGGTGAAAATCGAGTCTGCCCACGATGCCGAAGACATGGTGGCAGGAGGTGGTGACCAGTCCAGTCAAACAGCAGCAACCACTTCCTGGATTCCGCACCTCCCTCAAACGCACAGTCACTCCACGTACTCTTTGGAGGAGCAGCAATGGCGCACCCTTCGGCGCACCCACATTTCCAACATTCCAGTTCCGCTGCGCGAGTTGGTGATTCCTCGAGCAGCAGCGCCAACGGACGCTGCGACCACCTCGGATGCAGCAACAGCAGCAACAGCAGCAGCAACAGCAGCAACAGCAGCAGCTTCGTTGCTCACAGAGCCAAGCGATGACTTTTACATGATTGCCTTCCAGCTCAAGACAACGCCGCGGGCTGCGCAACGCTGGAGTCATCCAAGTCATCCCATGTACGCGACGTATACCGTGTCGTTGCATGCGCCCTTGATGATTGGCAACCTGCTCCCAGTCCCAGTGCAGGTACTGTGTGTCCAGCGTATGCTGGAAACAACGGGAAGTGCCTCTGCCAACAATGTCGCCAGCGGATACTCGAGCGCCGCCGCCGACGACGATCCCGCCTTTTGGAGGGCTGCATCAACCGCTCATTCCAACAGCGCGTACTCGAACAGCGGCGGCGTCCGACAGCAGACTGACCGCTCAATCAGTCTCACAACTCATTCGTCGGACATTCAGGAGGACGAGCGGGTGAGCGTAACTGCGGTAGACTTGCGCAGCCGGTTCGCGCTGCTCGTCCGGATTCCGTCGCTGCAACTTGAGGGCACAGTTTTCCTGTCGTACAGTCGCTCGAGAGTGCTGCAGTTTGCATCTCACTTTGACCTCGGCGAAATCAGCCTCGTCAGCCCAACTCTGCCGGGTTCTGACTCGGCGGAAGCTGAGGGCGGTGGCTTGCACGGCATTCGCCATCGGCACACGGCTGCAGGCATTCTGGATGATGCCGATCAGCCATTCATTGTGCTGCGCTCCACTGTCGGTGGTGAGCAGGAATTGACTCTGGGTCTGCACGTGCCGACTCGAGACGAGCAATCCGGCAGCAGCATGCTTGAAATTGATCTTTACGCGCCGTACTGGATTATCAACAAGACTGGACTTCCATTGTCGATCGGAGACAATCCGCACGTGAGCAAGAAGAGCTCCAGGCACTCATTGTCCCGCCAAATTTCAAACTTGTCCGCGCGGTCGCATTCGTCAAGCATGTACGAGCATTCCTTTGGAGTAGTCCCTCCGCTTCACACCTCGTTCACGTCCCTCATCTCTCAGGATCCGTCCGTCGCCGCTTCGAATACGGGCGAGCAGCAGGCAGACCGTCAACCCGTCGCTCCTGCGCTCTTCTCATTTTCGCATCGGTCTTCGCTGCTGTCCGTTTTCTCCAAGCCGATGGCGTTTATCAGTGTGCACGAGCGTTCCAATTGGTCAGAGCCCTTGCCCATTGATGCTGTTGGCAGTTCGTTCCAGTTTTCAGTCAGTGCGCGTGAAGAAGCGCCCTTGTCCGCGGGATTCGCACGTCCGTCGCCCTTCGAGCGGGCCATCTCGTCGTCGGACTCCACTCGAGCTCCAGAAGAGGGCGATCAAATGTCCGTGGCGTCTGTCGCCGCGAGCGTCGCCTCGAGCTCCTCCAAAAAACGCGCCAGCGCTACAACAAAACTGAAAAAGATGCTTCACCTGAGCTCGTCCAACAAAGTCTCCGCGAACACAGACGAGATCATGCAACCCTCTGCGTCGCAAATCTCTAGTGGTACTCAAGGCTCTGCTAAAAGCCCAAAGCGTCGCTTCCGAGACGTGGTCTCTCACCTTCGGTCGCGAAAGAAGGACAAACAGAGTGTGAATGATTTGCCAGCCGCCAATGCCGCCGAGCCAGACCTGGTTTTGACAGCAGAGCCTTCCTCAGTGCTGGCTTCGCAGGACCCTGTGCCAGCTGTTGCAGAGCTACACGACGAGCCAGTCATGATGAACTCGACCGAACGCGTCGTAGATTCAGCGGCTGTCGTCGCACCGAGTCTTGCAGGGGATACAGCGCCACCGACGGTACCGGGCATTGCGCAGCCGACCGTGCTTTCGCCAATCTTGGAGGAACCCGCTCAAGAGGCCGCCACTGACACTCAAACGAGTCCGCTCGACCCAGACTCGATCCCGACGCCCAACGCCGCTATTCCCGCAGCGATTGCCGTCCCGACCGTGGATGCAGATTTTCAACCGTTGCCACCGCCAGCGCAGACCAAATCCACCGCCCCATCCGTGTGCTCCATGGACTTTCAACGTGACCGGTGCAACTCGGTTGCGCCAATGCCCCTTCCGCACGAGTCGGCCACCTACGAGTTTGCAGTGTCGATCGCGCTGGCGTCGCACCAGCTGACCAAGATTGTCACGATTGAGCCGCGCTGGATTATTATGAATGAAACTGGCATGCCGCTCCTCTTCCGCCGCGTGTACGAGCACCAGGACGGGCGCGAATGCAATTCGTTGCTAGAACCCAAAGACGAGCAGTTTGCGCGCCGACATCCGCAGCTCTTCAAGCTCATCCATCCCAACCGCAACCGACGAAATAAGCGCTTCACAGAGGACTTGGCGGCGGCATCCGTGTCGTCTCCCGGAGGCGACCCCGGCAATGCGTGGGGCTTTGCGGTTCGGCCAGGAGAAACAGTGCCGCTTCACTGGCCTCTGAAGGCCTCGCGCGCGAAATCCATGGGCCCCACGCTGAGTGCGGGCGAGCAGTCCAATTCATCCAATGCGGCGAGATTGCTCAGCATGAGATTGAGCAATGTTCCCATGGTGACGGGAGAGGTGATTGACACGCGATGGTCGGCCCCGTTCGGCTTGGAAGGCCTGCAGTCCATGGTCATTGTCATGTACGACAAGGCCACCAACCGCAACGTGGCCGTAAGAATGACGCTGACTGTCAAAGACTCGTCCATGGTGATGGTTTTCACCAACACGCTCGGCATGGAAACTGTGCGTGTCGAAAATCACTGCCCGGATTTGCCAATTCGCTTTTGGCAACCGTACGCGAGCTGGGCGCGCTTGCTCGAACCGGGCACGGCGTGGCCGTACGCCCTGGACTTGCCACTGGGTGCCGAAAAGCTCTGCTGGGCGACCGATGAGCTCTCTTCCCCCGAATTGGGCGCCAGCTCGACCAGCCTGGCCTCCATGCAGACCGACGTGGGCGGGCGCCGGCGTGCGTCAACATCATCGGCCGTCGCATGGGCAGATCCCATCCATCTCCTCGATATAGCCTGCGTTGAGCGGACTGTGGAGCTTGCTTCCCACCAAGCCGCCGACGGGACTGTCGTGCCTGCACGATCTGTGATTGTGTACTGTGCCACATTCCCGGATGGGCCGACACGCGTCGTTCTCTTTACACAAGACGAGAATCTCGCCAACGCCATTGTCGGCAACTTTGGTCTGTCCTTCCAAGAGCAACTCGACCGCCATGGCTCCATTGTCCAGGTCGCGGGTGTTTTGCGCATGGACTTGATGATTCGAGGAGTCGGCTTGTCTCTCATGACGGCAGCTCCGCGAGATCTCATTTACATGTCATGGCGCAATCTTGACATGGAAACGTGGATTTCCGACTCGAACGCTGCGCTGCGCGATTCGCAGGCGGCGGATGCTCAAGTGGCAAGCGCATCATTGCAGGTTGCCTCGCCCACCAGCAACAACAACAGCGAACAGACATCCGTCTTCCCAATGGCGTTGCTGACCGCATTGACTGGGACTTTTGGGCGTCTGTGCCTTGCAAACACTGTGCAGGGTGATTGGCGCATTGGTGGCTTCCAAATCGACTCGCAACTCCCCAACACCCAATTCCCAACCATCTTGGCTCCGCGCTTCCAGCGCCATCTCGAACAGCGGCCGTTCGTGATGCTTAATTTCATGATTGCTGGCGTTCCCGCCATGCGTCGACAGGAAACTTTGAGTACATCGAACGCACGCCTGCAGGCTGCCGCGACGGCGGAACGCTCGGTCAATCGGACGTCTGCAGTCGTTGCTCCTCCTGTCGCTCAAACCCGATACAAGTCTTCCATGCTGTTGATTCCGATGCTTCGGCTTTCGATTGCGCCGCTAGCCGTTAAACTCGACGAACTCACCTTGGTCGAGCTGGCACAGTTCTGCAATCGCGACCTGGCCCTCATCGAGGATTTCCAACGCCGGCGCGTTGCTGCCGCCCAACAGGTTGTATCCAGCCGAATTGACTCTTCCGGCGCCGAAGTTGCAGACGGCGATGCAGACATTGTGTCCCGCTTGGTGCCAGCATCGGTCGGGCCCACGCACGGATTGCGCAACTTCAATTCCAGCTCCCCCTTCCGTCGGTTGCGCAGCCTGAGCGACTTGCGAAACATTCTTGGATCGGCCAAGTTCAACCGAGCCAGTCTCCGCGAAGAGGTCACCGAAACCGTCACCTCCCGACAAGTCTACATTGGCCTGCTGGTGATTGATCCGCTGGACATTTCGTTTAGCTTTAATCTGTCCAACCGCAGCAGTCGCGTGTTGCTTGCCGACCAAGGCATGAGCGGCGTGATTGAGAATAGCACTGTTCGCCTGGTGACGGGGGCAGCCGCGCAGCTGCAGGAGGTCACGATGCAGCCGTACGCGGTGGAGCTTCCAACCGAATCGAGGATTGGTGGCACTGCAGCCGCCATCTTGTCGCTGGAAACACGGCCCGAGGACGACGAGGAGCGCAAGCGATTGGAAGGAGAGCAACTGCAGCTCGAAGACTGGGTGCGCTCGCAGGCGCTCAAGCCGGTCGGCGAGCGCGTGTTTTCGGTGGTCGTCCGGTCCATTGGCGGCACGTTCACCAAAGTCAACGATGCCGATATACGGCTCCAGAGCGTGACGCTTTCGCAAGTGCTTTGTCCAGCCGGACTCATCGCCCCTCGCTTGCTACAACACTACAATGAGCACTTGCTCCGGGGCGTGTACCGCGTTCTTGGTTCCTTTGACGTGCTTGGCAACCCAGCCAACGTCCTTCAATGCATGTCGGCGGGCGTGCGAGCGTTAGTGAACGAGCCAATTCAGGCGTACCGCGAGCGAGATGGCCAAGTTGCACAGGGCGTGCGGAATGGCGCCAAGGACATGACGGCCTACTTTTTGCGCGGTTCTGTCGGGGCCGTGGCTCGTGTGCTGACCTCGTTGGCTGAAGGTCTGGAAATTCTGTCCTTCGATCCTGCCTTCCAGGCGCGTCGCGAGGGTGTCTTCACCCGTCCACCCACTGGACTGCGACAGGGGTTGTTCCAGGGCGGCCAGCGCTTGTTGCGCGGCTTTATCGGCGGTGCAGAAAGCTTGACGATGACTCCGATCCGCCGTGCTCGCCAAGACGGCCCCAAAGGCTTGCTGAAGGGACTGGCCGTTGGGACTGTTGGCGGCGTGGTGAAGCCCGTCCTCGGCATCCTAGATTTTACCACTGGCGCCCTGAACGGGCTCGTGAATGTGCGTAACATTCAAGAATTGACAGAGCGCGTTCGCCTCCCGCGCCACGTGCACACGGACGGCGTTATTCGTGTGTATTCAGAGCACGAGGCGGAAGGTGCCATGATGCTTCAGCTCGTAGATGACGGACGATACCAGTCTGCCGGTCGGTACATATCGCACGTTGAGCTCGAAGCCGAGCCCACCACCTACCGAACCTATCATTTATTTGGCGAGCGTCGCAAACGCCACGTGTCGCTCAAGCACGCTGGGCAAGTCGCCGGCGGGCCTGCCGAGCCCGAGTCGTACTCTGCACCAAACGCAGCACCCCCTCAGTTCGCCACGTCTTCCTCGAGCTCTGGCCATTCTCATCGCGTGTTGACTGCTCTGCGCCGCCCATTCCATCGCCAACGCAATGTCTTGTCGAACGCGGATGAGATTCCAGAGAGCGATGTTCCCATCAAGTTTGATTTGTTCTCCAGCAGCTCTGGCGGCCGCAGAGCAAGTGCTTCTGCGACTGGTTTGGACACTGGTCATGCCAGTACCACCAACACCAGCCACAGTAACAGCAGCGTCCCCACCACCAGTAGTAATGCAGAGCCTCGCCCCAACCGCGAAGACGATGCTGCTTCCACGAACGAAGAGTCGGATTCGGACGACGAGTCGGAAGGTGACGCAGCTCAGTCTTCCTGGTTTACTCACGAGGCCTTGGCCAGAAAGGACGCCGATCTGCGCGCTAGTCAGACTGGCGTGCTGCACATGGGCGACGGCCAGGGTGGAGTGGCACCGCCGTTATCGCATCGGGGAACGGGCAAACATCGGTACGCGCTTTTCACAGACACACGGCTGCTGATCATCAAGTACAGCCCTCATCGGTACTTGCGTGTCAAGCACGACATACCGTATGTGCGCATTCTCGATGTGAATCTGCGGGAGCGCGGCGTGGTGGTGGTGACGAGCAAGAACGCCGCAGCCAAGTCCAAGCAGCAGCGTGAAATCCTACTGCGCATCCAGCAGGCGACGACAGACGAGCAAGTTTCCAATTCACAAGTCTCTCTATTGTCCCTTGAAGCTGCCGCGGACGCTCAGCACGAGTTGGATGCCCATCAAGGCCGCTTCCGCAAGTGGACACACAGCCACCGGCAATCCAGCTCGGCGCCCACCATTTCCGACCCACTCACGTCTGACGACGCCTACCCTGATGACTCTGTCTACATTACTCTGCTTTGTGGCAATCCTGAGGTCAGAGATTGGATGCACCGTCTCCTTTTGCGGAGCGCAGGCCTGATCTTCCATCGCCAGCAATCCTCGCGCGTCGCGAGAGCAGCGTCCTTGCTTCTCGCCGCTAAACCGGACGTGTCGCCTGCCAACCCGCTACCTGCCTCTTTAAAGCCAGCGCTTGCGTCCCTGCCTCCTCTTCCGTCTCGCAGTGACTAAGTTGTTTTGATTGTTTTTTTTTTTTTTTTTTTTTTTGCTCGTGTGAATGTTTGCGTATTGTTTTCTTGTTTTGTTTAATGTTAGAGATACATGCACTTTTTGGTTTGCGTTAGAGTTTTCATTGTGCAAATGGGCATTGATTTTGCTGCTTCCTGCTTTCTTAGACTCTTCTTCATTACGTTTTGCCATGTTCACTTTTTTTTTTGCTCGTCTTGCATCAACGCGTCTGCACGCTCACCCTTTAACCGACAGATTGCCAGACTGATGAGACACTATTTGCACGACACCGACACACAAAACACAAAGACACAATGGTTGTAATGTACTACGCACATACTCGTAGAAGCGAACACACAAATCAACAAACGACACAAAAACAAGGAGAAACTAGCAAAAGTTGAGCTACCGAGGAAGCGACGCCATGGCAGTGGAGAGCAGGTGAGCGACCTCAGAGTCGGTAGACAAACCGAGCATACGCGCTAGTTGCGGTGCATCGACCGCCAAAAGCTTTGCACCAGACACGCTGTTCGTCATGGCATGCGGAGCACACTCGCCCATGCCGTGCGTGACGAGCCACGATGCGACACGCTCGGCGGGCCAGCTACGGAACGCCTGGCGCTCAGTATCCGTAAGCAGCGTTTGCCCTCGCGAGTCAACAAGGTGCAGATCGGCGTACTCGCTCATGACCTCGGGCTCGACACTGCGTCCATAGCTCAACGGCTTGTCGTACTGAACGGATGGCGGCGGCTTTGGCGCAACGACGGAGCGAGTTGGCCGCTGCAATGCAGACGGAGCAGTGCTTCCAGCCTGGGGAGTGATGCCAGCTCGGCCGATAACAGCATAGGTCTGCGGCGGAATGGGTGGCGGGGCAGCCTTGGCCACTCGAGCGCCAGGGAGGGGTGGAGGCGACAATTTCCTGTTCGGCAGCTCGTAGGGCGACGCATACCCGCCATTATCAGCGACCGGCGGGGGCACCGCTCGTTGGGCTCTCGGCGGGGGCAGCGCGGGAGCTGCGACAGCAGCTGCAACGACTGACTTGGGCGGAAGAGCAGGCTTTGCCGGCGTTGGCGGAAGCGAAGCACCACCAGAAGGAGGCAGGGTCGGGTTCAACGGCACAGCCACGACGCCATAATCCTCAGCGCCCTCGTCCTCGTCGGGCACGACCGAAAGGCGTTGCAAGAGGTCTCCACGAGATGCAGTGTCATGGGCCACTTCTCGGTTGAAGGAGCGAATTGTCTCGAGGCGGTCTTCGGTCAGGACCTGCAAAAAAAGAAAAAAAAATACACAAAATTCAAAGTCAGGTTTGGAGAAGCCGAGTGCAACATCAACCAATAGTTCGAAAAACACAATGAAACGTACAAACTCGCCGATTTGAGCAGAGATTGGTCGTGCTCCGGACGCACCAGACACGGAAAGCTGCAGCGCGTTGGTCATGAAATGGATGATGCCCCCCAACTCGAGTTCGATGACAGCCGACGAGTGCTTGACCGTAGTCTTGAGCAGTCGATGGCCCGAGAAGTTGGCATTTTCGCCACACGTCTGTGACAGAAATGAGCAGCCAACAAAAACAAAAAAAAATCAGCGCAAGTCACGCTGGAAATCACACCAACACGAATTTCATGCTGCTATTGTTGTTGTTGGTGTAGTGGGCATCGTCCCCCTTACCAGCACGTTGAAAAAGTAATCGTCCAAAGGCTTGCGATGCTTGTTCAAGAAGGCGTTGAGCTCTGCCGCGTTGGTGGCATCATCTTCAAAAGTGTCGTTATCGGCCAGGCGCTGCAGAATGTCAATGATGGCAGCAATGTGCATCTCAATGACGTGCTGCGCCAGTGAGTTGTCGTTGGCGTCCAGTTGCGTTGCAGCCTCGACGACGGACACGCCAAAGTAGTCGGGAGAGGCAAAGACGGGCAAGAAAAAGTGCTCAAAGAGAACAAGTGCCTGGATGCGGGTGGAAGGCACGTTCGGGTACTTGGAGCGCTGGAATGACAGATGGCGACAAACCAGACGGAAGGCTACTGGCAGCTGATCCACGGTTTGAAGCAACTTTGAGAGCAGGCGGTCGCACAGCTGGAGAACAGCAGTAAGGCTGACGGAGGGCGGCAGCACGCTGTGGTTGGCGAGCTTGGCAGCCGTGATGGCCTTGACCTGCACCTCAATGTGGGGTCCCGACACGAGCTCAGACACGAGCTTGGTGAACGTGCCGCGGAGGTAGTTCCCGCCGACCAAGTTGGCATAGGCAATAATGACCTTGTTCGAGACGGCAGACGTTTGCGGCGCCTTCTTGGCGGCAATCGCGGCAGACAGCTGCGAGATTTCACGCTCGAGCAGACTGGTGATGAATTCACGCTCCAGACCGTTGCTCACAAAGCCGTAGACGAGTGCCTGAGCAAACTCGTCCACATCCATGTAGTTGGGTGCTGCCTCGCAAACATCCATAACGGTGGGCATGAGCTCTAACGCACGCTGCCAGCGTGGATTCACAGGCGGCCGTGCAACATTGCGCTCCTTGCGGAGCGGGCCAAAGACGCCACCCAGGTCTTTGAACGCGTCCGCCTGCTTTGCCGACTGGACAGCAATGGCCGACTTGGCGGCAGCATAGTCGACACCAAGCGGAATGTCTGGAACGCGCGGAGCAGGCAGTTGCGGCGGCGCCTTGCTGCCGGCCGATAAAGTGTCGGGCACAGCGTACTGCGGACCGTCGTCCACAGAGGCGGGCGGAGCACGGCCTTGCTGGACGCTGAAGCCGGCCGCAAAGTGATTAGCTGCCGGGGCTTGTGACGCCGGGGCTGGCGGCAGCGACGCCCCTTTGCCTGTAAGCGACATGCCAGTGCCATACAACGGGATGCCCTGCGCAGGAGTGGGCGCCGCCGGTTCGTTGGTACGGTGCGCGGGGTCGAGATAAACCAGCGGCGAGCCGTAAATGGACTCTTCGCCTGCAGCGATTGCGGCAGCATCGACTGCAGCGGCAGCGGCAGCAACAGGACCCGACCGCGCAATCTGGAACACGGCCGAGTACGAGTGCGAGCCAACGGGCTTGGGTGGAGCGCCCGCGCCGCTTGCGCCGCCGCCGCCGCCGCCGGGCGTTTTCGCAATGCCAACGGTCATGTAGCCGTCATCCACAACAGCATTGTTGGCGGGGTTGGCGGCAGCCACAGCCAGTGCAACAGATTGCCGACCAGGTCTGGAAGCCTTGCGCTGCATTGTGGTTCCATAGACGTCGCCGTCATAGTTGCCCGAGAAACGCGCAAACGTAAAGTTCTTGTAGTCGGGGAGGTTTTGCACGTCGCTAGCACCGAGCGGGTCGTCGAGCGTGTCCTTGGCGGGCAAGCGCGTGAGCGAGTTGTTAAAGTTTTTCAAGTCCATTTCGTCGCGCACGCGGGGTTGGTAGGGCGGTGTGAGCGTCTTGGCTGCAAGCTTGGTCCAGTCCAGCTTTTCGTAGAAGGCATGGTTGCGAATGTCGTTGGCGGACTTGGCGCCGAGACGCTGCGAAGGCGCACGCTGCAGGAGGCCTCGTAGAATGGTGACGGCTTGCGGGCTCAATCCACGGCTGTCACGCAGCGTAGCCAGGGCACCTTCAATCTGCATGAAGAGCGTGTTTTGGAAGGTCTGATCAATGGTCGTGCCTTCGAACGGCGGGGTGCCGGAGAACATTTCCCAAAGCAGCACTCCGAGCGCCCACCAATCAATGACAAAGTCGTAGCTGTTCTTTAACAAGACCTCGGGAGCGAGATAGTCGGGGGTGCCGCAGAGCGTGTTGGTCTTCTGGCCGTCTGTGAGACCGCTCTTTGCAAGGCCAAAGTCAATCAGACGAATGTGGCCGTGGAAGTCCAACAGCACGTTTTCGGCCTTGAGATCGCGGTAGACGACGCCAATGCCGTGCAAGTAGTCGAGCGCAAGGAAGATCTCGGCACTGTAGAAGCGAGCACGTTCTTCCGAAAAGTAGCCGCTCTCGTTGAGATGGAAGTACAGGTCGCCGCCGTTCACAAAGTCGAGGACCAAATAGAGCTTTTCGTCTGTTTGGAAGGAGAACTGCAATTCCATGATGAACGGGTGGCGAACGCGCTGCATAATGTCCTTCTCTCGCTGCAGGGAGATTTTTTGGTTTTTCGTCTGCTTCTTCTTGACAACCTTCAAGGCGTACACTCGGCCCGTGTTCATCTTCTTGACGAGCATGACCTTGCCAAAAGCACCGCGGCCAATGACATTGAGGATGTTAAAGTCTGCCAGAGAAATCTTCTCCGTCACCTTCTCAAAGTGCACCGAAAGGTTCAACTCGCCACCAACCACGCGCTTGCCAGAACGGCTCGTCAAGGCGATGGATTGCGTGGTGGTCTTGCCTTGCGTCATCCCAGAGACGGGCAGAACGCACCGTCCCAGGAAGCTCTCCTTGACGAAAATGCCCCAATCGCACACGTCCAAGGTGAGCTCTGACTTGAGGTCGAGCACATCAAAGGTGAATTGCTCGTCCCACTTCGGGGTGGTAGTCTTCTTCTCGCGCTGCGTGCGTACTTGCTGCCGTCCGAGCGAAACAATGACGAAAGGATCTGCGAGCTTGGGCAGGTTGGTTGCCCCCTTGATGCGGACGGAGACTTTGCCAATAATGCTGGTGGAGGTCTTTTCGGGCTCTTTGGCGGTCGTCGCAGCAGCGGTAGCAGCAGCGGTAGCAGGAGGCGCCAAGGCGGCAGACGAAGACGAAGTGCCTCCAGCTGGCGGTGCTACCACTGCAGGCGGCACGATGGCAGCCGAGGAGGTGCTGGCGGAAGCAGCGCCGCTTGCGACAACCCCATTTGCGCTCGACACATTGTTGGCAGCAGCGCGCTTGAAAGGATTGGCGAAGGGCGACTGCTTGATGGTGACATCCTTTTCGATGGTTTTTGGCAAGCGGCGGAACAAGGTCGGGTCTGGTTTCCAACGGTGGGTGGGACCGACAGTCGTGAGCGCGCCCAGGGTGGTCGTTCCGCTCAAACGTCGTTGTGCGGCCCAGCTCTCGGGAGTGGCGGCGGCGGCGGCCGGCGAAGCAGGAACGGCAGGAGCGTTGGGCAGCAACGCCTTCGGCTTGGCCCCCTTGAGCGGGTCGAACGGAGGGCCCCCTGCACTGCCGCTGCCAGCACCAGCACCAGCACCAGCACCAGCACCAGCACGGCGAGCAGGTTCGGCGGGATTGGGTCCATCCTTGACTGTCTCGCCCTCTTTCGTCAACTCGTTGGTGCTGCTCACAATGTCAGGGCTGCACCGTTTCACCACGGCGAGCTCGGTGGTGATTGCGCCAAAGCGCTTGTCCGACTCTTCAATTTGGGCCAGGACGCTCGGGTCTGTGGGCTGGTTGGTGCTCGAGTAGACATCGACCAGCTTGACGAGGCCTGCGCGCAGCTTTTGCTCAGTCTCGAGCTGTGTTTGCAAGTCCCGAATGCGATGGCGGCGACTGCTCATAGAGTCGCGGCGCGCTTGCGCCCACGCACGTGGGTCTGCGACAGGTTGTAGTGACAAGGGCTCTGCGGGCAGGTCGACGGAAATCTTGGTATCGCCTCTTGCGGCTTCGGCGGGAGGCGGGACGGCTCCTTTTGTCTTGTCAGCCTTGACACTCGCCTTTTTCTTGCTACCAGTGAAGGACGAGGAGCCACCACCACCACCAGCAGCAGCAGCAGCAGCAGCGGACGGTGTTGCTTCTACGGGCTTGTTGAGTGCTCGTGCCAGTTGCGTCTGGTAAAAGTTCATCTTCCAGTCCGAGACAGCGAGCTGGTGCAAAAACCGCTCATCGTACGGCGCGTCGGGGATGGTTTCGTAGACGCGAACAACTGTGCGCAGCTTTTTGCGGTTTTGGACTTCCTCGCGAACCTTCTCGGTGAGTTGCTGCAAGACTGCCATTCCTGCGGGCTTGCGGCGTTTCGAGATGGTTTTGCACAAGATGGCAATGCCGTCCTCAAGAGTGACGGCATCCTTGCCCTTTTCATAGCGAATGACGACTGGTGCGGCAGAGACAGAAGGGAGGGCTGCTGGAGGCGGCGCGGTAGAGTGCGAGCGGTCTCGCTCGTTCGACGCAAACGGCGCTCGCGCGCTGGCTGGCTTGTTTCGCATATTGGATGCAGCTGCAGTGAACTCCAAGGCGTTGCACCCATACACCCGGCCAAGGCTGCTGGCGGCCGTCAGCGGCACTTCGCACGCGTCGACTTGGATGTCCTCGTCGTCCAGGCAGTAACCTGCGATTGCCATCGGCACCGTGCGATTGGCCTTGATCCCTGCAATAGCGTCGAGCAGTGGTCCGACTCGGTCGAACGACGGTTTGGACACTGAGTGGTACACAATGATGAATCCATCCGAGTCGTGCACCCACTGCAGCAAGGAGCAAAAGCAAAAGCAAAAAAAAAAAAAAAAAAAAAAACAAATTGAGATGAGTACACTACCAAAAAGCCCCGTCGTCGTCGCATCAGAGTCGCATCAGAGTGATTCGTTACCTGATCGGCACTAGTGGGCACCGACACAACGGTTTGGTGGCGCACAATCGCGGGAACATGGAAGTCCGTGTCCAGAATGACATTGCACTCGAATCCGTGGTAGCGATTGCAGAATGTGATGTGTTCGTCGTACGAGCATTCTGTCAGTTTACACGCAGCAGCAGCAGCAATGAAATTGTGTTAGCGCAGGTTGATTTCTCAACGAAAGGGAGCGAAGTCTGAGAGTTTGTGACGATTTTGTTTTGAAACGTCGTTCCAAATCCAAACGCTGTGCTCGCTTTCGACGCGTGCGCGATGTGACTGCCACCATACGACGCACCGAGTCAAAGCCACAGTCGCGACACGCAGTGTGTCTGGGATTGGGGTCGTAATTGTCAGCGAACACAACAATGGCGCACGAGAAACCGCGTTTTTTCTTGGATTTTCACGGCCAAACGCCGATTGCGCAGCCGGCTCAGCGCGCATGGCACCGTCACAGTCGTTGGTTTGCACATGCAATTGCGCCATCAGCGGGACTGAGCCGTGATGGTGGTGAGCGCCTGGGTTTTTCAATCCATTGACTGTGGTTTTTGGCTCTTTTTTTTTTTTTTCCATTGTTGGCTTTTTTTTTTTTTTTTTTTTTTTTTTCGTTTGTGTGAAGTTGGCTTTGCTTTTTGAGTACCTGACGGATCGAGCGGATCCTGCCCGATGGTCTTGCTCAGCGTCAGCAAGGAGATCTTCTGCAGAAGGGGGAAGAAGGTTGAACAACAACAAAGCGAAAATGTCAGCGAAGATCAATGAGCGTCATTAAAAAAAAAACAAAAAAAAAAGTTGTGAAAAAGAGAAAAAGTTTTTTTTTTTTTTTTTTTTTTTTGGCTGAAACAACATTGAGGAAATTTCCGCTTTTTTTTTCTTTTTTTCTTTTTATTTTTATGATTCTATAGTTGAGATTGCCAGCGTCGGTCACGAGATTGAGCGAGACCATCGAGAAGAATGAAAGACAAAGCTTAATAGCTCTGGTTGCTGAAAACTGGCAATGCACAATGCCAGGGACACGGGGGACAAGCGAAAGAGCACTGCTACTCAGTGAGCCTGCTGCCTGACCCCCTTCCCAACTTGCCTCTGCCGCTCGTCCGCCTCCGACCCACAGCTGCCCCAGTCCCACCACCTCATGGCGATGAACATGCAGAAGAATAACAAAAGAACCAAAATGCAGCCCTCAACAAGACAACCAGCAAAATAGAAGGGAAAAAAAAAAAGAAAAAAAAGAAAAAGAATAAAAAAAAAAAAAGATCAATCATTTTGCATTGCACGAACATCGATATCCATTGAAGTACGAGTGAGCTCATGCTGATCGATCGATGGATAGGAACGGGGGAAATCATGGGGCGAGAGGGATGTATCGTCATGAGAAATCAATCCACATAAATGCGGTACTAGTTTGGTTTGGTAGATCACTTTCGCTCCAGATCAAAATGGCGGGAAAGTACTTGCTTGTAGATCAACTCGGATTATTGCTCCGCTCCGTTCAGATCCCCTCATCCCGAATAAGAGTACTTGCCACACGGAAGCGGATCCAGCTCGAACAGAATCATGTCCAGCAAAGAGGCACGCAAAAACAATGAAAAGGAATTGTACATTCGACACAAATCACAAAAACCATCACACACACAAAACGCCAATCAAACAACTGCGCATCCTTTAAATGCGACGTGCCTTGCGTGGGCGGCAACCATTGTGAGGAATAGGTCTAACCAGGGCAAGCACAAGTCAGCGATGAAATCACAGGCAAAAAAAAAAAAAAAAAAATCAAACCAAAAAGCCACAACAAAACCCTGTCGTCTTCAAACTTACGAAATATCCGTGTACGAAATGATATTGAGTGGGCTGTTTGTGACAACTAGTGTGTGACAAACAAAGAAAACAAAACCCACCCAGCCAAATTGGTTAGTTATCCAACAAGCAAGCCGAAACCCCTCTACCATGAAACAATCGCCCTACCTCGCATGACGGAGCTGCGCGCAACGGACATGCCACTCAAAAACACGCGAATCGGATGGCGCCGCTTCTCCATGGTCATGATGTGCTGCACAACTTGATAGCAGGCCTGCTGGCCGGCAAAGGTCGACTTGCGCTTGGCGTTCTTGAAGCCGGCCGAGCCGGCGGTCTTAAAGTAGCGCATCTGCCCTGTTGCCGTCGAGTAGACAAACTTTACATTGTTCTTGGTGAATCGAATGCGCAGGACGTCTGCTTGCTCGGGGTCAATGATTTGCGCGCCAAGCTGGAGCATCTCTGGTCGCGGCGGCGCCAGGCCTGCCGACCACTCAAAGTCGGCACGCAGCGCTGCTGGGATTTTGCTCAACAGGGCTCGGGCTTCCTGCTCCGTTGGCGTGGTGACATCCTTTGTCGACGCTGCAATGTCTGCTTGGACGGCTGCAGGGTTGAAGTCGCTGGGCGCGAGTTTTCGAGCCGCGTCTGCCTCTTCCTGGAGCTGCTTGCCCGCGTTGAAATCTGCAAGGAACGAGGCAAAGTTTGCGTCCGAGTCGACCTTGGAGCGCTCGCCCATGCGCTGCGCGGCGGCCTGCAGCTCGTCCACGGAAACGCCCTGATGCATCGGGTGTGCCTTGCGCTCGGTTGCCTCGCTCTCGGGCTTCTTTTCCGGCGTGAAATCTGCAAAGAAGGCCTGGAGGTCCGAGTTCGAGTTGCCCTTGTCTGACTTGGCGGCGGCGGCGGCCTGCAGCTCGTCCACAGAGAAACCAATGTTCAATGGGTTTGGCTTGCGCTGAGCACCAGCATCAGCAGCCGCCTTGGCAGCAGCAGTCTTGGCAGCAGCATCTGCATTCGTCGCATTCAGCCAGTCCAGCGACGACGGCGGCTTGTTGTTGTCCCCAGTGGACCATGCGACGGAAGCGAGCACCGAGATGGATCGGCTGGCCGTCCCCGCGACGACTGCGCGGCGTAATAGCCCTAACAAACCGTTGCAACGGAGCAAAGAAGACAAAGCAACACCATGGAAATGAGGGTCGGTGGGACGGAGGAGGAGGAGGAGGAGCAGGGGGGGGGGCTACAAAGAAGCGAGATCTCTGCCTCGTTCCCCCTCTCTTCCCTCTCTTCAGCTCTCTCGTCGGTCGACAGGTCAGTCATGTCACTTTGTATTCAATCAGAGTCATTGTTTGTAGCTTTTGTCGTTTTTTTGGAGTTGTTGGAAAGAGCAGCGAAGAACAAACCTTGCGTTGATGCGATTCTGCTGCAAACACACGCGGCTGCTGCGAGCATTGAAGGAAGGGATTGAATGAGGGATTGGAAAAGAGTGAGCATGCATGGATTGCAATACAAAAGTGCTAACAAAGAAAAAAATGCATAGAGTAGACATTGGACTTGGAACTGATAGACTGTTGGCAGTACGAAATGGCAGTATTCCGGCTTTTGCTTTGCTCTCTCGTTCATTTCAACTCCCGAGTGCTGCTTGGCTTCAAAACGAGGCCATTGCAGATCAACCTTTTGTTTGTGTGTATTGATGTGGGGGGTTGGGTGCTCTGTTTCAGCAGCAGCAGCGACGAAACATTGCTTAGGAGGGAGTCGAAATCGTTGCACTGTTTCTCAGACACGTTCAAGCAACGCACGGTCAGTTCAAAGTGACGTAACACACAAGCACGTTAAAACACAAAGTGACTTATTGTACAAAAAAATCATTCTCAGACACAGACAAAAAGCTCAGCGTCTTTCTAAACTTGGCAGAGTTCGCCGGAGCTTCCCTTCAACTTCAAAACTCGTGCGTGTTGATGACTCGGGTGAACTAGGATTGGCTGCATTGTGCATTGTGTGCATTATGGCTTGGGCTGTGCTTGCTTGTGTAGTGCTTGAGGCTGTTGCTGCTGGGGCTGCATTGCGGCCTCTTCGTTGGCAATGCGAGCGGTCGCGACCTGATCTTCCTGCTCGTCCTCGTCCAGCTCGAGTCGCTTTCGACGCTCAATTTCGTCAATGACGTACTGATAGCGCGGCGACGTGATGCCGAGCCAGCCTGTGAATGTCTCGCCAAGGTAGTCGATGACGCCGAGCACCCTGTACCCGACCGCCCACAGCGAGTCCATCACGGTCGCCGGCGGCGGTGGCGCTGTGCTCACACTGCTGCTGCTGCTCGAGTCGATGGTTGTTGACGACGGCGGTGCATTGAGCGGAAGTTGCGACATGTTCATTTTGACGTGTTCCTTTGTTATGGTTTGATGCGAAAGCCAAATATGGCGGAGCGTGTGTGTCAGGGTCTGAGATTGACAGCAAATGAAGAATGAAACGGCAAAACGGGGGAAAAAATAGGAAGACTGAATCGATGGGCATCATAGATCTACACAAAATGAAGAAAGGAAACCAAGCAATTGTGAATGTTGTAATGGGAGATTGACAAACAGGTTTAGCAACAGACACACATCACGACCCCCAAGCGCACAAAAAACTTGAAAGGCAAGAAGAAAAACAAAACCGGTACACCTGGAACTCAAACCCACAAACACGGGGGCCGGTGGAAGGGACAAGGAAACAAATCAAACAGCAAGTTGGAATCAACTCCATTGCGGCGCACCAGCAGGGGCAACAAATGGCTGTTGCTGGGGTGGTTGATACTGTCCAGGTGGTCTGTAGACGGAGGGGATAGAAGTGAATATGCAAGTGAGTCACCAGCAACAAGAAAGCCAAGAAAACGCCAAGAAATCAAACAAAACGTCAACAACACTCACGAAGCAACACCCATGGGACTGGGATTGAACGGCTGATGTGGCTGCGGCTGTCCACCATACTGTGACGGGAAGGGTTGCTGGGGTGCTTGAGGAGCGTATTGCGGCAAATTCTGGGGCGGCGGCTGACCGCCGAAAGATGGTCCACTCTTCGGCTGCTGCTGCTGTTGCTGTTGCTGTTGCTGTGGTGGATAGCCGCCAGGAGCAGGAGGATACCCTGCCATGCCAGGCCGGTGCCACGCACCGGCGTTGGCCGGAACCTGACCCGGTTGCATCGTGAAAGGCTGCTGCGGACGGGGACCTTGCTGATTCTGCTGTTGTTGTTGAGGCGGGTAGGCAAAGTTGCCTGGTTGTTGTTGCTGCTGCTGCGGGGGAAGAGGGCCCATTTGCTGGAGAGGTTGCGGTTGAGGGAAGGGCGCAGCCTTCGGCGGTTGTGGGGTTTTCAGCAACTGGTCATACAACAGGAAGGCTTTGCAAAAGCGGTCGTTCAGCGCCATGAGCTGAGCATTCTGGTTGGAAATGTCACTGAGCTTGGCGCTCACGGGGGCTCGCGAGGCGTTGCACATGTCAGTCATCACTCGGATCTTTTCGTTTTCAACTAGATTGTCGCCAGCTGCGTCAGCGTTCGCAATGAGCTGCAAAAGCTCGCTGATCATCGTGGGAGAGACGATGGTGGGCTCGGCAGTTTGAGCGACGGCGCTGGTGGGCGCTGGCGCGGCGGTCGTCGCACCTGCGGATGGAGCGGCTGTCACAGCAGCAGCAACGGGTGCAGCAGCAGCAGCAGCAGCAGCAGGCTGGGTGGGCGTATGGTCGTCAACAGCTTCGACATATTTGACGGGGATCAGACCTGTGCGGCCTCGCAGCTCTCCTTGCCACCAGTTTGCATCCGACGTGTTGAGCAGCGTGAGAATGTCGCCCTCCTTGAACGGAAGCTCGTCATCGTGCGTCGTGTCGAAATTGAACAGAGCTCGAGCGTATCGAGCCTAGTTCAATGACACAAACAACATCATTTGGCAAAAACAACAAGGGTCGGAAGGGTAAGACAATGTCAAACAAAAAAACAAAAACAAGCCGAAACGAGAGACAAAAACAAAGCTAATTGGTCCCCACAAACACAAGCAGCGTCTCCCTCACCTTCAAAGGCTGCGGTGGAGGCTGGGAAGAGGGAGGAGTGACTTTGGGCTGGCTTTCTTGCAACGAGCGAGCAATGGCCATGGCCAGCTCGGCATCTTCCTGCGATGCTGGAGCAGCGGCAGCGGGTCGCGGAGCCGACGATGTCGATGTGGGCTTCTTTTTGGGTGGAAAGTCGTACCCCTCGCGCTTCAAGTTTTCATACACTCGGTGGAAGGCAGTGATGTTGCTCAAATCAGTGTCCCAGTCTTGAATAAGCTCCTTGATGCGATCGCACACTTTGGCGTTGGTTTGCACCTGAGTAGGAAGAGCAGGAAACGGGTCAGAAGGGGTGACTGGCAGTTTGCCTGAGCAATGCCGTTAAATAGGAGGGAAGGCTTACCTTGGTTTGCAACAAACCAGCAATCTTGTCCAACACGTCCGCTGCAGCCACTTCAATCTGAAAGACGCGTCCGCAGTTCTTCATGCACGAGTCGAGAATCTAACTCCGAAGTGATGAAGGTTAGAAAGAGCTCGAGCAGACAAAATTCGTACGTTCTTTCACAAAAACTCACTGTGAATGCAACCAGCTGCACGTTGGGGTTGCGCGTGGATGTGACGCGCTTCAGCAGGGTTTGGATGGTCTCTTTCGCACTGTTCATATCATTTCGCACACGCCAAAGTGAGCTGCAAGTGAACAGTGGAGAAGAGGAAGAAGATTGGCATTGAAGTTCGAGTTTCTTCGAGCGGTTCCAGAGTCGCTCAGTCGGCGACCATCTCGGCAATCTGGATGAAATCTTCGTCCATCGTAATGAACGTCCATCCCTCGACATCGGTCGTTGGTGATGTTCCCAAAACGAAACGCAATGGGTCGCTCAATGGTGAAAATCGATTCAAAAACCAATATAAAAAAAGCGAGATTTACGCTGCAGAGTCCTTGATGCCTTCCCAGAGGCCGACCATGGATTCCCAGTCCTCGGAGCCCGGTTGCGCGTTGTCGTGCGCGATCTTGTCTGTGTTGTTGTTTGAATTCGAGCAGCAGTGAGCAAACAGTAAGCGGGGGGAAAGGAGAAAGGGAAGAAGCGAACAAGCGTCATCAAAAGCCCAGCCAAAACGGCGACCAACGTCAGTGCTGCACTATGTCAGAGTCGAATGGAAGAAGCAAGAGAGAGAGAGAGAGGAAGACGGTGAAGAATGATGGAAACGGGGTTGAAGGGGAGAAGGAAGAAGGAAGAAGGAAGAAGGAAGAGAAGCGAGACGATTGAATGGAAAAGCATAAGAAAAAAAAAAAAGAAAAAAAAGTTGAAGTTTCTTACAAACGAGAACTTCGCGAGAAGACGACATTGGAAAGAAGGAAATATGAAGAGTGACGAGAAAGAAGTAAGATTTAGAATCTGAGACGGGAAATCAAATGATGAATGAACAAATGGAAGAACGGGAAAAAAAATACAAGAGCGAGCGAGGGAGAAGAGACATTGAGTATTAACAAAGCGTTGAGCAAACAACAAGGAGTCGCAACACACACACACACAAACACACACACACACACACACACACGGCATTCTAACATGGCAAGTGAATAATGCAGCAAAGCAACAAAAAACGACTAATGAATGCAATACGACGAATGGATAGCTGAGGGGGAGAACACAACCAAACAAAACAACACAATCATTCGAGATGAAACGCGGTTTAGCCCCGTGTCGGAGGCTTGGCGGGCTTGGCATACACGTCACCGTTCGGCGCGAGGAAGGAAGACTCATTGTACGAAGGCGAGAGATTGTCATACAGGCTTTCGTCTGCCTTCGATCCAGGCGAAGCAACCGCATACACGTCGCCTCTCGGGCCAACAGTAAAACCGGGTTTGGGAGCGCCAGAGCTACCACCACCAGGTGCGGCAACCGCGTACACATCACCCTGAGGTCCGACAATAAAGCCAGATGTGTTGCCAGAGGCGCCACCAGCAGCAGCAGCAGCAGGTACAACCGTGCTGTACAAATCCTGATTGTCGCCAAGCGACGCGTAGAGATCCTCGCCACCGCCGCCACTGGATTGGCCAGGAGCAGAGTAGGTTGCCTCGGGAGCAGCGTACGTCGACCCACCAGCAGCTGCTGCGTACTGCGCCTTGTCTTGCGTGTCTTCGTAGATGGAATCACGAACAGCAGCATTGCCGGCCGCTGGCTGAGCCGCCGCATAGATGGAGTCTGGCTTGCCCACGTCGGCATACACATCGTCGGTCTCGCTTTGTGACGCAGTCATTTTCGAGCTGGCAGGTCGAGTCAACAGCTCCATGTTGCTTCTGCACCGAAGGTGAAATGCAACCAAAAAGAGAAAACAACAGCCCCCCCCCCAACAGGTACGAGTTAGCCAAGAATCTCACATCAAAAACGCCCAACCAACACACCCAACACACAACAGACAGGCCGTACGCAGTAGGCGGCAATGCGCGCGCGGAATTCGACGCCGCCGGCTTGGACTCGCGAGCCTTACGGCGCCGAGCAATAACAAACAGGATGATGACAGCAAGGAGGACAATGCCGGCAATCGCACCAATAATGGCACCCAGCGGGAAGCCGCTGCCAGAATCGGTTTGATTCTGAACGTTCCCAGGGCCACCGGTGGTTGAAGCCAGTGTGGCCGTGCGAGAAGACGACAGACGAGAAGCGGACGGCGTGGCCGACTTGCTGATCGACGACGTGGCACTACTGCGCACCGCAGTTGAAGTCGTGGGTGCAGGCACTGAAACGCCCGGCGTCGAGGTAGCCACGTACGGCGTCACGCTGGAAGTCGCGGAGCTTGAAATGCTCGAGACTGCCGTGCTTGAAACTTCTGGAGTGGCAGAGCTGGTGCAGCTGCATGCTGACGTAGAAACTGAAGGGTCGAGGCAAGCCGAGCCGCCAAACGCCGCCGAAGTGGCGATGGTGCGCGTGATGGAGAGGGTCGCGCAGTTCGAACAGGGATCGAACGATGGCCAGGATGCATACGCGCAGTTGGTCGGGCACGGTGCACCTGTGCAGGACTGCAACTGGGTTTGGAGACAGGCTGTAGGCGACACGGCGTTGCTCAGGACAGCCGTAGCAGTGACGGTCTGTGTCGCGCCGCAAGCCGCAGAGCACGGAGAAACAGGTGCATAGGACATGATGACATTGCACGGTTGCGTGTTCGTCGGCTTCGTAACGCCATTCGTCGTGCACGTACCATCGGCATAGTTTGTAACCGTGTCGGTGCATTGGTACTGCATTTGCTGGGTGCCACCGCACCCCGAGCAAGCGCCCCAGCCAGTGCCTGCAAAGCTCAGATTTAACGTTGTTGCTTGCTTGGTGTCGCTCGGATCAGAAGTGCCAATGCTGTTGACTGCATAGATGCGGAAGTAGTACAGGGTGTTTCTGGTAAGCCCAGCGACGGTGTAGGAGGTCGAACTGCTGCTCAAACCAGTCACATTCTGGAAACTAGCAAAGTTTGCAGTCGTGCTGTACTGAACGGTAAACGAGGACACGGATTGCTGAGTGTTTTGCACCAAACTCCAGGACAAGTCGACAGACCGGTAGGACGCAGCCGTGGCGAACACTCCGGCTTGTTTCATGGGCGCTAGGGTACCATAAAACAAAGGACGAATACTCACTGTCAGCTCACACATGGCTTTGTTGGAGCACGGACCAAAGAAACAATAATTCAAAAACACCTTACCAGCGGCTAGGGTCATGTAAACAGAGCCAAAGAAGGCGTTGATGGGCCCCGACCCGCCAGCGTTTCGAAATCCACTCAAGTATGCGTTCATGCTGACGGAACCGGCGGGAAGCGGAGTCGAGATCGTCAAAGCTCCGGCAGTGGTTAAAGTGTTCGACCACCTTTCACCCAAAACGGTGTTCGCCGCGTTGTAAATCCTCAGAAACAGGTAACCACCATGCTGATTCGAGTTGGTGAAGGCTGCTGTGAAGCTGACGACCACACGAGTGCCGTCAATGTATCCAGAGTTTTTTGCGAACGAGGACAGCGAAATCGCTTGGTAGAGCCAACCATATGTGATTGAGTTACGGTTTGTACAACTCCTAGGGGGATTATTGCCGGGACAGTTGGCAGCTCCCGGCTTTAATAGATTGCTCTGGCAATACCATCTGTCCTCTTCGTTGTCCTGGGCTTGTGCAACGGTCCACAGCGACGGCGGTGCGATTGCAGTTTTACCATTGTTGCACGTCTGCTGCGTGATAAACCCGCCCGTCGGCGGATCGAACGCTGGACAAAACACCCAAAAGTTCATCATCATCATCATCATCATTGCACATCGAGTGAGTACTCTTTCGGTCATTCATTGCACATCCAACCCCCAACACCAAACACCACACCAAACACCAAACACCAACAGCACGCCTTCTTCCGATCTGAAAAATCTACATCCAGCATTTTTCCGGCTTTTTTCGTCGCCTTCCTCATCTCCCTCGCTCACAAACCCCCCGTTCCCAACTCCAAACCAACCTGTCGATATTCAGCCATGTTTCAATACACGCGCGTGTCGTAACCGCAACAAAACAGGCTGAAGCCAAACAGTATTGTTATCGCAAAAAAGGCAACCAAAGCTAATTGTGAATTGTTCTTTTTTTTTTTTTTTTTTTTTTTTTTTTTTGGTTTGGCTGGAACGTTGAGTCAAAGGGTAGAGAAAAAAAACTGAAGCTCGGGAGAACGAACAGCATCGGAGGGATGGCTGTGGAGTGTACGTGTGTGTGTGTGTGAGTGGTGTATGTGAGGGGTGGCAGATGCGCGGGTCGGCGAGGTGTGAAATTGGCTGGCAAAGTGGAACCCGCAACAAAACGCCGAAAGGCAAAATCACAACACACATCACATTAAGACATACGCGTCGTTGCGCTGGGAACCGCGATGGACATGCTGGCGAAAGACAGGATGAGCGCAAGAACAACCGCAGCTGTGCCGGCGGGGGCAGCAGCCAACGACGAAGCGGCGGAGCAAGCGAAAGAGCGGATCATTAGGAACGAAAAAAAAAAAAAAAAAAAAAAAAAAAAAAAAAAAAAAAAAAAAAAAAAAAAAAAAAAAAAAAAACGAATGAGATTTAACTTACTTTGGCTGAAAACGAAAAAAAGAAAAGGATCGATAGATCGAACAGAACGAGACAGGTCGAACAATAGGCAGTTAAGCCACAATAGACGTTGATGAATTTGAGCTGCAAAAAATGCGCAAGATGGAAGCTCGTTGTTTTGTGTTTTTTGTTATTTTTGACATGGAGGGAATAAACAGGATTTACAGTGAACGCAACGGTCATGAACAAGCGAGCAAAACAACGAACAAGCGAGGCTCCGAAAAGACTCTACGAGGGAGGAGGAGGAGGAGAGAACAAACGAAAAAACTCAAACGACAACAAACAAACCGGAACCAGAAACCAAAAACAACAACCCATCCGACACCTCAAGCGTCTCCTATCAGTCGTCGGAAACCCAGTGAGACGCTTCCACAGAGAAGGGTGCCGCGGGCTGACCGTCTTCGTTGACAGCGTCCAAGGCGTCACCGCGCTTTTTGCTCTTCGATTTGGCTGTCAAGTTCTGAATGCTGGTGCTCGTTGCCGGAAGCCCAAGCTCCTCGTACAGGTCGCTTTGTGCGTGCGCGGGCTGTGACGTTGCGTGCCGAACCTGCGAATAAAGGTCGCCATTTTGTGGGCCTGCAACAAACTGGCTGGACGACGACGACGACGCCGACGCCGCTGCAGCTCCGTCTGGCTTTGCAACGGTCGCGTACACATCGCCGTTGGGAGCGACGACATTGTTGCTGCTCGCCACTGGAGCAGCAAGCGGCGCACGAGGCTGCGGCTGCGCTGTGGCATAGTAGTCCCCTTGAGCTGCAGCACCGGAGGTGGGTGCAAAGCTGCCAACTTGAGCATACAGGTCATTGTCGTCAGGATTGGCGGCTGGGGCTGCGGCAGGATGCACATGATCTGCCGTGAAGGCATAGAGATCATCGTCCTGCGCCTGTGGGGTCGCCTTTGGCTTGGCTGCTGCAGGTGCGTCGTCGGGTTGCATGTAGTTTTCGGATGGCGCAGGCGTATTGCCTTCGCCAGGGGACGTATACACTGATTTTGCGCGTGTTGCGACGGCGTACGTCGAGCTCTGCCCGCCCACAGCGTCGTACAGCCCGGCCTCCTGAGCCTTGCTGTGAGCTGGAGAGTCTTGGGGCGCAAGATAGAGCGCGGCAGCCGACGAAGATGATGGCGGCGCAATCACGCTGCTTGGTCGGGCAACCGCGTACGTTTCCTCCTCGTCGGGTGAAGCTTGGGCATTTGGCGACATGGTACGCGAAGAGGCGGAGGAAGCAGGTGCAAAGAGCGCGTTGCCAATGGTAGAAGTCGAGGAAACAACGCGCGTTTTCGCAGGGCTGCGGCGGCGGCGCATGACCAACACCAAGATCACAATGACGACCAGCAAGATGCCAAGGCCCACTGCAACACCAATCGCCATGTTGCTTGCATCACCGCCCGAGCCCGAGCCAATGACAAGCGTCCCAGCCGGGGTATTCGACGAAACGGCGCTCGCGCTCGACAGGGGAATGTTAGCACTTGAGCCCGACGACGGGAGAATGCCTGCACTACTCGGGGTAGCAACTTGACTCTCAAGGCTGCTCTCAGACGAGGAGCTGGCACCAGGAGGAAGAGTCTGGGCAGAGCCTGTCAAGGAAGCGGAGAGCACCTCCGAAGAAGACAAGGGCACCTCCGAAGTGCCACATGAGTCGCTGCCAGTGCAGGGCTGAGTCTCACTCAACGGGAGGTTGCAAAAATTGTCGCCAGACGGACCCACCGGCGTGCGCGTGCGCGTGTGGGAACCAACGCTGCAATCCGTGCTGGAGCAGGTCGGCCAGGCACTCCAGTCCGAGACGACGTTGCATGGCACAACACCAGTAGGTTGTTGAGGAGACGCAATGCAAACGCTGTTCGCGTACACAATGCCGTTGCCATCTTGACATGTCGCACTGCGGGTACGTGTCCCATTACAGGTTGCAGAGCACACAGACTGCGCGTAAACCCAATCAACAGAGGGTGTTGTCACAGACGGCGGATGGCTGGCCACAGTTGAAATGCCCGCATCATTTTTAGCTTGGACAGTGCATGTGAAAGTTGTCCCGCTTGACAGCCCGGTGAATGTGTATGAAGTGGCAGTCGAAGCAAGCAGTCCGGATGTTTGCGCGAGAGATGAGCTGGACAATCCAACAGACAGTTGAGTGACTGGTTGTTGTGTGCTAGCGACGGCTGAGAACGTGACGAGCACAGCCGTCGCGTTCACGGCTGAGCAGGAGCACGTCTGCGGAACCGGGGCGGCCACTATTGTCAGAACAGGGGATTGGAAGGAGACATCCATTGCATAGTTCGTAGCGCCGGACTTTGACGCAACAAAGCTTCCGACGAGTTTGGTAGCGGTGCTCGGGATGGGCTTTGAAGCCGCAAGGGTAACCGCGGTCGTTGAGATGGTAGTAGCAGAGCTGGATGAAACGAGCAGAGCGCCAAGGCTATTGTAGAAGGCGAGCTGAACACTCCCCAGGTCGTCGCCCGCGTTCGAGTCGAGAGCAACTGTCGACGAGAATTTGGCAATCGCTCGACCGTCCATGACATAGTTGGTGAGCTCGTCGTCGCTTAAAGCGGATTCGAGATCAACCGAGTAATCAGCCTGCGCGTTCGTGATCGGTGCTCGAGTACCGCCGCAAGACCAGTCAAAACACGTAAATCCACAGGTTCGGTCGCAATTGTCCGCTGGTCCAGGTCGAAATGCATTGCTTGCGCAGTACCAGGCGGATTCATAAGTGCTGGTGAGAGTGACCACGGACCATCCTGATGCAGCTGGCGAGCTCGTGCACACTTGGCCAGAGTTGGTGATGTAGTTGGCCAAGAATGCTGATGCACTGTCCACCGCAAGGACCACCACGACCAGCAGCAGTGGCAGCAGCCGGAATTTAGAAGACAAAGACATCGAAGGAGTGAAGCCCAGTGGTATGTCTGAGTGTTTGATCAAGAAGGGGTGCCAAAATGCTCGTTTGCGCGGGCTATTGTTGTAGGTTTTTTCGAATTCTGTAACCTGGCAGACAAGAGGAGCACGACCAAACAAGGTGAGTATCATTACTGAGATGGATTCTGGGTTTAGTTGTCGTGATGCGCGACTGTTGATTAGGAGGGAGCAATGCATGATCGTGTCAGCCGAGGTGTGTTCGGTTTGTTTGGTCGCTTGCCGAATGTCAGATTAAACCGAATCACCGAAGCGAGGTCTCAACGACGTAAGCAACATGGCGTCAAAGCGAGTGTCGGTTTATAGAGGGGACGAGCGAAAAAAGGGGACGAGCGACAGAGTGCGACAGAGATAGAGTCGGCAGCATAACCAGCGCGTCGAACGATGACGACGACGGAGATGAGACGGTGGGCTGGGGAAGCGCGAGGTGGAACGATAGACGGGCAGAGCCACGACGAACGAGCTACATCAGCAGCAGCAGCAGGGTTCAGCAGCAGCAGCAGCAGAAGCGACAGAGCGACAAGGTCGAGAGTGGAACAGAGCGGCAAATACACAAAACGTTGTTTTGGCTCGACGCTCGTCGTCATCTGTCTCCACGCAGAGACACACACACACCCATGCAGATACACATGCATGCATTCACATATGATTGCTGCTTGGGTGTGTTGACACCTCATCGCGCATCCCGTTTGCTCACTCATTATTGCAGTCAAACAACAATCAACATAGAAAAGCGATTCAAACAATGCCACTAACAAAATAATTTAAAAAGAAAAACAATAAAAAGAAAAAATTCGAGACTGACGGATTTTTGGTGGATTTTATTGATTTGTGGAGAACGGAGCGAGAAACGGATTCAACGCATGGAGTTGGAGGCTCATGGGATGTATCGCGACCAGTCAACGAGAAGCGACGAACTGATAACAAGGACAACTCTGCGAGCGCGCAGGAAATGAAAGAGACGGACTGACAAAATTTAAGCAAAACACACAAACCACAAACAATCCGCGGCGGTGAATCATCCGATCGAAACAGGAGACGAACAGCTCGGACAAAGAGCTGAACACGAGCAAGTATGTGTTGCCATACATGTTTTGTCACGGAGTGGATGGAGAATGCAGTGCAGCGTCTCGAACGAGCGTTTCCGCGTGATCTATCGACCGAACTGGAACAAAACTTCCCACCGCTCCACGACGGAAATAACCGCCGCATTGTGCTCGCTGCTCGGTCCCAAGACAATGAGAGGCCCACTCTACGCATCCAAGCACCGTATTAAGCGTTGGATTTGAGCAAAGCTATCGCAGCGCGGAACAGTGCGGAGATGATCTGTGAAACTTGTGACACAACCAATTGCAAACTTTGGTTTATCAAACAAAACAAAAACACAAACGATGCAAATGAACGCCAACCGTTCCCACCAACCTTCGCGGCTCGTCGGCTCGATTTCAAGGGACGTTCTGGGTGGAAATAGTCATGAAGCACCTGTCGGTCATGTCTGATCGCGCCTCCACCTCCGCCAGGGCAGTTCAGCTCCCTTTGGTCGACGTTGATTGAGTGGGCTTTGCTATTGTTCCCACAACCATCTCTTAGCCGCAGTTTCACCTCTCGAGCTGCTATTTTTTGACACACGCGATCTTTGAAATAAAGTGCTCAACAACGGGGTGCTAACGAAAAAAACCTTTGCACCCTCGAATCCAGGCATATTGGAACAGAGAGAGATACTGGAATTGCAATCAAAATCCTGCAGACATTCGTTCAATACTCGACGACTCTTCAAGGGCGCGACACACAAGTCAATCAAAGCCGCAAAAGCAGGCGGATTGTGTTCACAACAGAGCCCCGATCTCACGGATCGGTGTTCCATCCTCAAAGTTTTTCAGAGCTTTGACGAGCTGCGTAAAGCTTGGACGTAGTTCTGGGATGGAGTTCCAGCAACTAAACATCAAGCTAAACAGGTCAGTTGAGCAGTGCTCCGGCCTGGGTAGTCGACCACCAGCCTCCAGATGAGCCAGTGCCTCAGCGCCATTCATCTTGCCGTACGGCATTGCGCCGTAACTAGAGCATTCCCCTACCAACGTGCACCAATAAAAAGTCAAATCTCGACGCAAGAGCAAGTATCAGCAGAAATGACGCGACTTACAGGCAGTCACACCAAACGACCACACATCCGACATGGACGAGAACTTGCGGAAGGTCATTGTTTCCGGTGCCATCCACTACAATCACCAACACACTCAGAATCACATACTACCAGCAGTGGAGCCATCTGACTCAACCCACCTTCACGGGAAGTTTTCCTCGCGTTTGCATGCGATAGTAATCTTGCTCATCCGTCAATTCGCGGGAAAGCCCGAAATCGGCAATCTTGACCACCATTCCTTGCCCCACAAGGCAGTTGCGCGCGGCAAGATCTCGGTGCACAAAGTTAAGCGTGCCCAGATACTCCATGCCGAGAGCAATCTGGCGAATGGCATGCACCTGCTCGTTGTGCGTCCACCAAAGCGAATACAGCTTGGACTTTTGCAGCAGCGTGCGCAAATCGCCGTACTGCACAAACTCTAGCAGAACGAGATGGGGCTCTGACTCGACCAGAGCCGCAAGCAACCGCACGACATTCGGATGCACAAACGGCGCCATCAACTTCGCCTCAGCCTCAAAGTCTTGGTGAGATTTCTCGTCAGCGTCGGCCTTGGAAGACTTGACTGCAACCAGCACGGTTGGCGACGCTGTAGGTCCGAGCAAGGTTTGAGCTCTTGTGGGCAACACGTTGAAAGGCACTTGACCCAGTGACACATCGCCAAATTCACCACTGGCAAGGTGCTTCCCAATGGTCAAGCCTTCGCGAACGCGACGAGAATTGCTGCCGGCAACATACGCGCTCGTATCATCGTCAACCACCTCCTCTGGCGGGGCGGTCGGGACAGCTTGATACGACTGTTGTTGAGCGACCGCCGCATGGGATGGAATGTCCGCTTTGTCGTGTGCTCCAGCCGAATGGTTTTGAGGGGAAGTTGTCACTTCATCAGCCTCCTGGTAGATGGGACTGGCAGCGTTCTGCGATTCTGGCTGCAGCTTTTGGCTGGGCTTGGAGGAGGTTGAGCCGTCATCCTCGATGCGAGATTCACTCGAATGGGCCAGAGGAGACATTGTCATTTCAATTGTCGTCTGATCGATGACGGGACCGGCAGAGTCCTTCGGTCGTATGACAGAGCGTTGCGAGCGCCGGCGCCGCAACACGATAAAGACCACTGCAATGAGCGCAATGACTGCCACGGACGCAACGACAGCAGCGATGACAGCCGCCGACGAGGATGAGTCTTGGGATCCAGCGCCGAACTGTGCAATGGAAGATGCAACAGAAGCAGCAGATGCCGATGCGGTTGACGCGGCAGAGGCTGAGGGGGCAGAAGCAGCAGAAGCAGCAGAGGCTACAGATGCGGACGCCCGAGAGGCTGAAGATGCAGCAGCAACGACGGAAGCCAACGATGCGGTCGCGGAAACATCAGACGCAATGGATGCTGACGACGCGCTTGCAGCAGATGCAATTGACGCTGACGATGCAGCTTGTGTAGACGCAACTGAAGCGGCGGAGGCTTTGGATGCTTGTGTCGCTGCTGACGCAACAGAGGCGGCGGAGGCTTTGGATGCTTGTGTCGCAGCTGACGCAGCAGAGGCGGCGGAGGCTTTGGATGCTTGTGTCGCAGCTGACGCAGCCGACGTACCAGATGCAACCGAGGCAGATTGCGTCGACGCAACAGAGGCGTCGGAGGCTTTAGAAGCTTGCGTCGCTACTGACGCAACATATGCAATCGAGGCTGACGATGCAGCTTGTGTAGACGCAACTGAAGCGGCAGAGGCTTTAGATGCTTGTGTCGCTACTGACGCAACATATGCAATCGAGGCTGACGATGCAGCTTGTGTAGACGCAACTGAAGCGGCGGAGGCTTTGGATGCTTGTGTCGCTGCTGACGCAGCCGACGCAACAGATGCAACCGAAGCAGATCGCGTCCATGCAACTGAAGCGGCGGAGGCTTTGGACGCTTCTGTTGCAGCTGACGCAGCAGACGCAATCGAGGCTGACGATGCAGTGACGACGGACGCAAGGGACGCCGAGATCGCCGAGGTCGCGGAAACATCAGATGCGATAGATGCTGACGACGCGCTTGCAGCAGATGCAATTGACGCTGACGATGCAGCTTGTGTAGACGCGACTGAAGCGGCAGAGGCTTTGGATGCTTGTGTCGCAGCCGACGCAACCGAAGCGTCGGAGGCTTTGGATGCTTGTGTCGCTGCTGACACAGCTGACGCAACAGATGCAACCGAAGCAGATCGCGTCGATGCAACTGAAGCGGCGGAGGCTTTGGATGCTTGTGTCGCAGCTGACGCAGCTGATGCAATCGAGGCAGACGATGCAGTGACGACGGACGCAAGGGACGCCGAGATCGCCGAGGTCGCGGAAACATCAGATGCGATAGATGCTGATGACGCGCTTACAGCAGATACAATCGAGGCAGACGATGCAGTAGCGATGGAAGCAAAGGACGCAGAGATCGCCGAGGCCGCGGAAACGTCAGACGCAATGGATGCGGATGACGCGCTTACAGCAGAGCCGATCGAAGCTGACGATGCAGCTTGTGTAGACGCAACTGAAGCGCCGGAGGCTTTGGATGCTTCTGTCGCAGCTGACGCAGCAGATGCAATGGACGCGGACGATGCAGCAGTAATGGAAGCAACAGACGCCGACAGAGCAGATGTGGCGGAAACAAGAGACGCAATTGAGGCAGAGGCGGTTGAGGCAATGGACGCTGAGGATGCGGTAGCAAGTGACGCAAAAGATGTTGAGAGCGCCGAGGCAGCCGAAGCAGATTGCATGGACGCAACTGATCCGATGGAAGCAAGAGGAACGCAGGATCCACTCATCATGTCGTAGCCTTCATAACACTGAGTGCACACTGCGGACGAGCTGCAAAACAAACAATTGGTTCCGCAACACGAGGCGCTCCCTGAGGCATAGCAAGTGGCACACGCTGTATCGCACTCTGCAGCACAAATGTCAGTGAAACGATCACTTGAGATTATACACCAGTCAGCTCGAACGCTTACTGTAGGGCTGGGATGCGCTGCCGTATGTGCTAGGCGGAGCAACAGTGTTACCGCCAAAGGTAAAGTTGTTGGGGCTCAGTTCGGACCGGTACCAATACCCCAAATACAAAAGCTTTGGCAAGCCCTTGAACAGACCAGGCGGCAAAGTGGTGAAGGGATTGTCATCCAAATACCTACGAGAACCGCAAACTCATGTAAGAGGCAAATAGCACATATGCGTTGCGAGTTCTCGCTTACAGTTGAGTCAGCTTCGTCAGGCCTGTGAATGCGTTTGCGGAAATACCGGCAATGTTGTTTTGATTTAGATACCTGCGGATGGAGTCGCAAATGAGTGAGCTGCTGTGCGTGATTCTTCAGGACTTTTGCTGCTTACAGTGAAGTCAGCGCGTTTAGACCTGTGAATGCGTTGGCGGCAATGCTGGTGATCTGGTTACTGTTAAGGGACCTGCAAATTGTGAAGTAAAGGAGTAAGTCGTTTGCGCGTGCTTTTTCATGACTACTCATGACTACTGCGCATGTGTACAATAACTGCAGCGCGCTCAAGCCTGTGAATGCTTCGGCGGAAATGCTTGTGATCTGGTTGTTGTCCAGGGGTCTGTCAAGTGGATCGCAAACCATTGAGTTACTTCAGCTTGGTTCTTCATGACTTTGCTTCCTTACAGGTGGGTCAGCGCAGTCAGGCCTGCGAATGCGGCTGCAGCAATGCTTGTGATCTGGTTGTTATTCAGAGATCTATAGAGAGTTTCGCATAAATGAGTCATTGTGCGATATTCTTCATGACTTTGCTTGCTTACAGGTACTGCAATGCAGTCAGGCCAGCGAGTGCGTTTGCAGAAATGCTGGGGAGTTCATTGTAACTCAGATACCTGAAGATGCGGTCACCAAAGAGTGAGTGGTTTGGGCGTCATTTTTCATGATCTGCCGTGCTTACAACACGGTCAGGGCTGTCAGGCCGGTGAATGCGTTTGCGGAAATGCGAGTGATCCTGTTGTTATTCAGAGATCTACAGAGAGTTTCGCATAAATGAGTCATTGTGCGTGATTCTTCATGACTTTGCTTGCTTACAGGTACTGCAATGCAGTCAGACCGGTGAGTGCGTCTGCAGAAATGCTTGAGAGTTGGTTTTGAACCAGAACCCTGAAGATGCGGTCGCCAATCCGTGAGCGGTTTGTATGCCATTCTTCATGATCGGTCGTGCTTACAAGCTTGCCAGCGCAGTCAGACCGGCAAACGCGTTTGCGTGAATGGTGGTGATGTTGTTCTGAGTCAGAGATCTAGAGATCGTGATGCAACAAGGTGAGAAGTTCGTGCGTGATTATTCACGACTTAAGTTCGTGCGTGATTGCTTGCTTACAGGGACCGCAATGCAGTTAGGCCAGTGAGTGCGTTTGCAGAAATGTTTGGGAGTTGGTTGTAATTCAGATACCTGAAGATGCGGTCACCTATGAGTGAGTGGTTTGTGCGTCATTTTTCATGATCTGCCGTGCTTACAATGTGGTCAGGGCTGTCAGGCCGGTGAATGTGTTTGCGGAAATGCGAGTGATCCTGTTGTTATTCAGAGATCTATAGAGAGTTTCGCATAAATGAGTCATTGTGCGTGATTCTTCATGACTTTGCTTGCTTACAGGTACTGCAATGCAGTCAGGCCGGTGAGTGCGTTTGCAGAAATGCTTGGGAGTTCATTGTAACTCAGATCCCTGAAGATACGGCCACCAATGAGTGAGTGGTTTGTGCGTCATTCTTCATGACCTGTCGTGCTTACAGCCCAGTTAGCGCAGTCAGGCCGGTGAATGTGTTTGCGGAAATGGAAGTGAGCTGGTTGCGCTGCAGAGATCTTTTGAGAGTTTCGCATGAATGAGTCATTGTGCGTGATTCTTCATGACTTGGCTTGCTTACAGGGTCCGCATTGCAGTCAGACCGGTGAGTGCGTCTGCAGAAATGCTTGGGAGTTCATTGTAACTCAGATCCCTGAAGATACGGCCACCAACCAGTGAGTGGTTTGTACGTCATTCTTCATGACCTGTAGTGCTTACAACACGGTCAGGGCTGTCAGGCTGGTGAATGCGTTTGCGGAAATGCTAGTGATTCCATTGCTACCCAGAGATCTATAGAGAGTCTCGCATGAATGAGCCGTTGTGCGTGATTCTTCATGACTTGGCTTGCTTACAGGGTCCGCATTGTAGTCAGGCCTGCGAGTGTGTCTGCAGAAATACTTGCGAATTGGTTGAAATCCAGATTCCTGAAGGTGCGGTCACCAATGAGTGAGTGGTTTGTGCGTCATTCTTCATGACCTCGTGCTTACAGCCCAGTTAGCGCAGTCAGGCCGGTGAATGTGTTTGCGGAAATGGAAGTGAGCTGGTTGCGCTGCAGAGATCTTTTGAGAGTTTCGCATGAATGAGTCATTGTGCGTGATTCTTCATGACTTTGCTTGCTTACAGGTATTGCAATGCAGTCAGGCCAGCGAGTGCGTTTGCAGAAATGCTGGGGAGTTGGTTGTTCTCCAGGAATCTAAAGATGCATGAGTGAGCGGTTTGTATGCCATTCTTCATGACCTGTTGTGCTTACAATGTGGTCAGGGCTGTCAGGCCGGTGAATGCGTTTGCGGAAATGGAGGTGAGCAGGTTGCCCTGCAGCGATCTATTTGCGGATCAAGAATCAGCAAAGCAAATGGTTTGATTCAAGTTCAGCCTTCAAGGCAAAACACCTACAGGCTTTGTGTGTCGACCGGGATTCCGCTTGGAATGGCCGTGAGACTCTTTCTATCGCAATTGACAGCTGTTCCGGTGCACTCGCACACACCAGCAGGACCACAGGCATCATCTGCTTGTGCTAACTGACTGAGCAGCAAAACAAGCAGACAAACCGCAAATCCCTTTGCTGCCATCTTGAGCTGAGGATCTGTGACAGTTACAAAAGTGAGCTCGCATCTTTGGAGCAAATCACTTGCGTGCTGAGCAGTCAGACATTCAGTTCAGTTGTGTGTGTGTGGAATGGGATGGCTGCTTCAAAGCTGCTCTGAGCTTTGAGCTGGTGGTTGGACGCTAGTGTCCTCGTGATACAGCAAGCGCAGCTCAGCGCATGTGCTGTCCCCGCGGTCGACTGTCGGTGGCTTCCACTGCCTCGCTGGCACCAATGTGTCCTTCAGTTGAGGTGGGGGGGGGGGGAGAAGGGAGAGAGAGGACGGGCGAGACAATGGGGATGGTTGTTTTTGTTAAGCGTGGCCTCGTGAGTGTGTTCTTTTCGCTCCATCGCTTCTTCTGCTTGATGTTCTCAGCTTGCTATCAGCTCGCTTGCAACAAAAGCGCATCAGAAAAGAGTGCAGAGGGGCGGGGGGGGGAGAGAGAGAGGATCGCTGTTGGAGCTGCTCATTGCTGAGTTCCAAGCGGCCGAGACCAGTTCAAACAAAGTGGAGCGAGGATACTTTGAAAGAGAACGTGCGCTTGAGCTTACATTCGGTTTGATGCAGCAAAAACAAGAAAGAAGGGGCACACCGACACCCACACGCAGGAGGAGGGGGGAGAGAGTAAAGAGAGAGAGAGAGAGAGAGAGAGAGAGAGAGAGAGAGAGAGAGAGAGAGAGAGAGAGAGAGAGAGAGAGAGAGAGAGAGAGAGAGAGAGAGAGAGAGAGAGAGAGAGAGAGAGAGAGAGAGAGAGAGAGAGAGAGAGAGAGAGAGAGAGAGAGAGAGAGAGAGAGAGAGAGAGAGAGAGAGAGAGAGAGAGAGAGAGAGAGAGAGAGAGAGAAAGGGGGAAAAAAACAAAAAAAAGAGTGGCACAGACACCACTCTCAGACCGCTCCAATTCAAACTAAAGAGACGCTATCTGTTGTTTGAAGTGTTGTTAAATGTGTTTGATTGTGTTTGGGGCTGAATAAACCACAAAAAAAGAAGACTTCCGCCTGACTCCAATCTTGCTGCGCAGAATTTGAGACGTCCATGACGTTATCCTGCTGTCGCTTGGGCCACCAATATCGATGCAAGCTCGAGCTCTCAATTCAACACTATTGTGGAGGCTAACCAGATTGCTTCTGAGATTTGACCGATCAGTCATGTTTGTCGCAGTCTGGTTGCAATTGTCAATCAAACCCAAGTAAGCCAAATCGCACCATCAAACCCAAGCCACCCAAAAGCGCGTGTTCTCCACTGCTTTTGAAGCAATGCAGCTGCCGTATTGCGAAAGTCGGCAATGACCATGAAGCGGCTCGACGAGCGGAGCACAATCGACCGGCACCAAAGTACCCTCTCTCGCGCGCTCCTTTCCCTCGCCACTCTCCCGTCTGGCTGCTGTGTGATGTTGCAGCACGCCTACTCTAACCAAGCAGAACAAGCGAGGAACAGCTTGCCCTGCGACGACTGACCCACCGCTGGGAAACCACAACAATTAAAACCCACCGCACACCGTACGGCCTTCAGTACTGCAAAACCAGCCGATGCAGGAGGTGGGGAGGAGGCAAGGGGAAGGGGGACCGGTGTCAGATTGGCGAGTGACAGCTTGGAAGTGATTGTGAAGCGCGCGTTAGGGAAGAGGGGGAGAGACAGCAAGAACCAATCATCTCCAAGCCATCCCGACGCAACACAAGCATGACACATACACATAGACACACAACTGAGCTATCAGTATTGTGATGTTTGCGGGGAAGGTGTTTGTGGAGGTCCTGCGAGCTCACTTTGTCATGGTCTCTGATTTTTGCGCAAAACACCGCTACATCCTCAACAGATGAGATTGATAGAGTTTGCCTTTGGTCTGCTACTACTACTGCTGGGCTTTAGCGTGACAAGTCGCGTCCAGGTGGCACAAGCAGTCGATGCATGCAGCGTGTGCAGTTGCTCGGGAACGGTTGTCAATTGTTACGGCAAATCGCTGACAGCCATTCCGAGCGGAATCCCAACCGCCACCACCGACCTGTGAGTATTACCGTTGGAAGGGAACGTGCATCGATGCGTTGTCCTTCTCATTGGCAATACGGTCAATGCGGTCGACAGGACTCTCTGGAACAACCTGATCACCAGCATTCCCGCAGGCTCATTCGCTGGCCTGACTGCATTGACTTTCTTGTAAGCAAGCAACAGACAGGAAGAATCACACAAACGACTCACTCGTTGGCGACTCTATCTGTAGGCGAATCGATAGCAACCAGCTCACCAGTCTTTCGGCAGACACATTCACCGGCCTGAGCGCGCTGACACAATTGTACGCAATCGACGACAGGTAGAATCATCATTGGACAAACAAATTGGCTTACTTGTGAGTGCAGGGCTCTGAACAACAACGGGATTACGAGCATTCCAGCCTCTGCATTCTCAGGGCTGACTGCGCTGCATAACTTGTAAGCAAAGACAGTCAGTCGGAATCACAGACCAAACGGCTCACTTTTGTTTCTTCTTTTTTTTTTTGCTTTTTTTTTTGGCAACTCCGATTGAAGGTATCTGAATGACAACGTGATTACCAGTATTTCTGCAGATGCGTTCACAAACCTGACTGCACTGAATTACCTGTAAGCACGCACCGCTACGACGAATCAGACGCAAATGGCTCACTTGCAACTGTATCTGTAGGGTTATGCATAACAACCAGATCACCAGCCTTCCCGCCTCTGCATTCGCAAACCTAACCGCGCTGACACAATTGTAAGCAAGCAATGGCATCAAGAATTGCAGACAAAGCAGCTCACTCGTTTGTGCCAACAATCATCTCTAGGTTTCTGTTCAACAACTCGATCACCAGCATTTCCGCAGACGCGTTCACAGGTTTATCTGCGCTGGTGTACTTGTAAGCGAGCAATGACATGACGAATAACACACACGAGGCTGACTCGTTTGCCGCTCCATCTTTCAGGGCTCTGTACAGCAACCGGATCACCAGCATTTCCGCAACCGCATTCGCAAGCCTGACTACGTTGAACTACCTGTAAGCAAGCAAAGTCTTGATGCAACAAGCCACAAGCGGCTCACGCATTCGCGGTCACTTTGTAGGTATTTGCATGCCAATCAGATCACCAGCATTCCGGCCGGCGCATTCACAAGCCTGACTGCGCTGATTCTCTTGTAAGCACGAGCTCTCATTGCACATGCTTGATCAACCTCTCTCACTTTGCAATTTTATTTTCTCAGGCCGTTGAATGACAATCCATTCACCACGCTACCGCCCGGTTTGTTCAAGGGCTTGCCAAATGGGTTGTATTTGTCGTTTAATTCGTCCCAAGTGTTCCGCCCGCTGAGCCCCAACAACTTTACTTTTGGTGGAAACACTATCGCTCCGCCCAGCATGTACGGCAATGCATCCGACCCAAACCGTAAGGGTGCAGGCATGACTGCAATTTCCCGTATCATCCTTTTTCACTGACGTTGGTACTTTAGAGTGTGATACAGCCTGTGCCACCTGCTACGCCGCAGGGTCCGGGGCGTGTTGCGGGACCAATTGTCTGACCTGCATTTCATCCGCTCGCTGCACTCAGTGCTATGAAGGCTTCGGCTTGATCGGTGGATTATGTTTTTCGCTCGCTTCCCTCGCTTCAGCTTCCAGCGCCTCGGTTGCCTCAGTCGCGTCCACGCAATCAGCCTCGGCTGCCTCGATTGCCACAACCAGATCTGCATCCATCGCCTCCGTCGCTTCAGTCGCCTCCACGCAATCTGCTTCTGCTGCTTCGGCTGCCTCGGCTGCCTCAACCGGCTCTGCTTCGATTGCGTCTCTTGTTTCCGCTACTTCGGTCCTCTCGGCATCCTTTGCGTCCGCCGCGACAGCATCTTCAGCGTCCGTTGCAACTGCTGCAAGCGTCTCCTCGGCAACCGTCGCTTCTGATGTTTCTGCTACCTCGGCATCTGCAGCATCTGCTGCGTCTGCTGTGTCATCTGCATCGGCGCTCTCGGCTTCTGTTGCGTCAACCGCATCGGCTTCTGCAGCATCTATTGCATCCTCCATTGCACAACATGGAGGTGGCGGCTCGCAAGACTCGTCTTCATCTCCCGCAGCTGCCATCGCTGCTGCTGTCGCGGCTGTTGCGGTTGTTGCCATGCTTGCTCTGGGATACTTCGTGTGGCGACGCCACCAATCGCAACGACGTTCCGGCATGCGACAGAAGGACTCTGCAGGTCCTATCTATCAGGAGGCCATTGCAATGACAATCTCACCTCTGAGCCAATCGACTCGAGCTCAAAAGGAAGAGGACATTGCAGCCTACGCGGTGGTCGGTCAAAAGCAGCTAGAACCGTTGTACCAGGCTATCGCGACGAGCTCTACAGAGGTGGTCTACGATTACGCAAGCGCGTACGTTGCCGGCAGCAATTCTCGACGCATTCGTGAGGGCTTGACGATTGTGAAGCACCTTGCCAGCGGGAACTTTGGCGACGTGGCACTGGGTCAGGTGCCTTTCAACGTGTTGCCGCCAAGAGCACAAAAATTGCTTGCGCCTGCAGCATCTGAACCCGTGCAAGTTGCCGTCAAGTCTCTGAAGTCTGATGCAGATGAGAAATCCCGCAAAGACTTTGAGAGCGAGGCGAAACTGATGGCGCCGTTCGTGCATCCGAATGTCGTGCGTCTACTTGCGGCTCTTGTCGAGTCCGAGCCACATCTCGTCCTGCTCGAGTTTGTGCAGTACGGCGATTTGCGCACCCTGCTGCAAAAGTCCAAGCTCCACTCGCTTTGGTGGACGCACAACGAGCAGATCCATGCCATTCGTCAGATTGCACTCGGCATGGAGTATCTGGGCACGCTGCACTTTGTGCACCGTGATCTTGCCGCGCGCAATTGTCTCGTGGGGCAAGGAATGATTGTCAAGATTGCCGACTTTGGACTTTCTCGCGAAATGGCCTCCGAGAACGACTACTACCGCATGCAAACGCGTGGCAAGCTTCCCGTGAAGGTGAGTCAAGAGTGCGTGCAGGTGTTGTTGCTGGCAGCATTGATACTGATTTTGTTAAACTTGCGCTCTCCTTGCAGTGGATGGCTCCCGAGACTATGACCTTCCGAAAGTTTTCTTCAATGTCCGATGTGTGGTCCTTTGGCGTAACAGCCTGTGAGTCGGCGGCTCTATCGCAACAGTGTCGGTTAACCCTTTTTCTCACTTGCGACAATGCTCGGTTGGTAGGGGAATGCTCCAGTCACGGCGCAAGGCCGTACGGTGAGATGGACGGACGCGATACACTGGCTCATGTCGAAGCTGGAGGTCGACTGCCCATGCCACAGACCTGCATGCCCGAGCTCTACAACGTGATGATGAGCTGCTGGGACATGTCGCCCGAGAACCGTCCGACCTTTGCTCAGCTTGTCCGCACCCTGACAGCGCTTCAAGATGGGACGACGATTCGCGAAATCGGTGCCATGCTGTGAATACGATCAACCTGAATTTCCGGCTTTCGATTGAATTTTGGGCAGCAGCAATTGCTGAAGGATTCATCCGCAATCCACCGCGATTTCCGTGCAGAACTGAGTTGCTTTTGTGCCTGTCTGTTGAATACAAGTTCCGGCGTTTGTGTCTTGTACTCTTTGAACACTGTTCAGCCGTTGTCACTTGGATTTCGTGTTGCTGTGCCACGCCGGCTCTGCGACGTCCAAACAATTCTGCGTTTGAATTCTGCAGCCCACATGACAGTGACTGCACTTTGTTTGTAATTGTCGTTGTTGTGCCTGAGAGCGCTGCATGTTTTCGTCGATGGACCCGTCGACTTGAACGGAAGGGGCGTGAAAGTGGGTTTTGCTTGTCCTGTTCCACACCTTGCTGGTTTTGCATAGATAGCCGTCCAACAGTCCAACCGAAGAGTCCATCGTGGGTCACTTTCTGGTCCTCTTTGCACGAGTTCCGCCGTACTGCTGTACTAGGATGAGAAGCCAGCACTCGAGACCGGGCTCAAAATCGAAGCGGGTTACACTAAATATCGACTTGGACAGAGCCGCACCTCCAAAACCACAGCCACTTTGAGGCCCACCTTCGAGCCTGTCTCAGCCACCACGGTGACTTCGATGTGCTTGCGGTGGTGTTTTGACGTGTAGCGTGCCTGTTGCTGCATCGAGTGCGAATCCGCGCGCCTTATCAGGCTCAAAATACATGATCATTTAGCCGATCATTGGAAATACCCTTATTTGCTATTATTGTGTTTGAACCGATGCGGTTTTAGTGGGTTTGTTTTTCTCGCCGATTGTGTGTTGAAATGGCTTTCCGATGGATTTCCAGTGATCTCTTCACTATCCCGCATCTTGAGACCCTCGGCTCGGGTCCTGTTATCCGCCCTCCATGAACGCCAGAGAGTGAAGCAGCTTCGTTCCCACAACGACGGATCAGTTTTCATTCATTCATTCTTGATTGTTTTGCCTTTGTTTTGGTTTGTGTTCTCATTTTTTTCCCCCTTCTTTTTGGCTTTTGCTTTTTTTGCCGCTTTGCTTCCAAAAGTAAGCCATCATCGAAAGTCAATCAAAGCCAAAAATGCGAGTGTCTTCTTTCGCTTTTTTACCACTGCTTCTGACGAGCGGCGCGAACGTCCGCCGTGAGTGGGGTCGACGAGCGAGGAGTGGCCGCCGAGCGCTTTGGAATCATTGGATGGCTCTCTCTCTTTCGTCGCCCTGCACCCTCGCTCGCTGTCGCTGTCTCCCCTTGCCTCTAATGCTCTGAGAAGCTCTGTTATACCAAGTTGGTCATGTCTGCTGTACCAAGCCGATCAAGCCAAGCTGAAGAAGAGACAGCGAACATGAAATACATTCGCATTCACACAACGCCTCCCCTTGATGTGTGGCCGCTTGCTCCTGGCTCTCCTGCAGGCGCGATGTGTCGACGAAAAAAAAAAAACAGTGGAAGTGATCATGAAGGGTTACGCAGGGAGAGCGCGAACGGCCCGCACCCCGGGTTGCGGAGCGGGTTCTGATCTTGTGGGAAATGTTGTGGGAAAGAGCTGCAATGCTGAATGCTTTGAAGCCATCTTCACACCCACACGCTCTAACAAACATACACATTATTTTATAAACCTAACTGGCGTTCAGCACTGTGACGCTGCGGGAGAGTCGATGTAAAGTTGAAGTGCTGTGCGCTCACTGTTTCCGGTCAATTTCTCCAACTCGCCATATTCCCGCTATTCAGATGACACCCAAAGGACTTGCCTTTGGTCTGCTGCTTTTGCTACTCGTCGTGAATTATCACGTTCAGGTGGCACAAGCAGCCGTTGCATGTGGCACTGGCGCCGTGTGCACTTGCACGGGAACTCTCGTCAACTGCATTAGCCGATCTCTCACAGCCATTCCAACCGGAATCCCAGCGACCACAACCACCCTGTAAGTGTTGTGATTGAGTTGACCTCAAATTGAAGATTCTGCCCCCTCATGATTGGTATCCGGCCGATAGGTATTTGCAGAGCAATCAGATCACCAGCATTTCCTCAAGCGCATTCACAGGCCTGACTGCGCTGACTTACATGTAAGCAACGCAGTACATGAAGAATCACCGACCAGTCGCTCACTCTTTGGACACTTTCTGTAGGCGTCTGGACACCAACCAGATCACCACCGTTCCTGCTAACGCATTCTCAGGCCTTTCTACGCTGAATACCTTGTAAGCAAACAAAGACACGACGAAGCACAGACAAATGGCTCACTCATTTGCGACTCCATCTGTAGGCAACTGAACAACAACTGGTTGAGCGCCATCCCCTCTTCGGCGTTCACAGGCCTGACTGCGCTGATACAATTGTAAGGAAGCAAAACATGAAGTATCACCGACCAGTCGCTCATTCTTTTGGACACTTTCGGTAGGCTACTGAATAACAACCAGATCACCACCGTTCCCTCTTCTGCATTCACCGGCCTGACTGCGTTGCAAATCTTGTAAGTAGCCAAGGACACGAAGAATCGCACGCGAACGACTCACCTTTTGTAACACTATCTGAAGGTATCTGCACAACAACCAAATCGCCACCGTTGCTATAAACGCATTCTCAGGCCTGACTGCGCTGCAAACCCTGTAAGCAAGCAACGTAGTACACAGAGAATCACACACATGGCTCACCTTTTGTAACACTATCTGAAGGTATCTGTACAACAACCAGATCATCACCGTTGCTACAAACGCATTCTCAGGCCTGGCTGCGCTGCAAGTCTTGTAAGCAAGCCACGTAGTACATGAAGAATCACCGACCAGTCGCTCACTCTTTGGACACTTTCTGTAGGCGTCTGGACACCAACCAGATCACCACTGTTCCTGCTAACGCATTCTCAGGCCTTTCAAAGCTGAATACCTTGTAAGCAAACAAAGACACGACGAAGCACAGACAAATGGCTCACTCATTTGCGACTCCATCTGTAGGCAACTGAACAACAACTGGTTGAGCGCCATCCCCTCTTCGGCGTTCACAGGCCTGACTGCGCTGATACAATTGTAAGCGAGCAAAGCATGAAGAATCACCGACCAGTCGCTCACTCTTTTGGGCGCTTTCTGTAGGCGTCTGGACACCAACCAGATCACCACCGTTCCTGCTAACGCATTCTCAGGCCTGACTGCGCTGATTTACTTGTAAGCAAGCAACGTAGTACACGACGAATCACAGACAAATGGCTCACCTTTTGTAACACTATCTGAAGGTATCTGTACAACAACCAGATCACCACCGTTGCTACAAACGCATTTTCAGGCCCTACCGCGCTGGTCCAATTGTATGCATGCACAACGAAAGAATCGCTCTCGAACGACTCACTTCTTGTGACACTCTCTGTAGGCAACTATACGGCAACCAGATCACCACCATTCCTTCCTCTGCACTCACAGGCCTGAGCGCGTTGACGCAATTGTAAGCAAGCACAGACCCCATGAATTGCACACGCGTGGCCCACGTATTTCGTATTTGCGTCGCGATCATAGGTATCTGTACAACAACCAGATTACCAGCGTTCCTGCAAACGGATTTTCTGGCCTTACGGCGCTGACGGACCTGTAAGAAAGCTCAACAAGAAGAAATCGCACATTAACGGCTGACAATTTTGTGTTTCTGTTGTAGACGTCTGTCCAACAATACGATCACCAGCATTCTTGCAAACGCATTCACCGGTCTTACCAAGCTGACTTACCTGTAAGTAAGAAAGGACATGAAGAATCACAGAGCAGCGGCTCACTCGGTTGTGACTCGATATGTAGGGATCTATCCCTCAACCAGCTCACCAGCATTCCAGCAGGCGCATTCTCAGGCCTGACTGCACTGACGCAATTGTAAGCAAGCCAAGCATACGCTTGACGGATCACAGGCAAATGGTTCACTCGTTCGCGAGTCCTTTTGTAGGCTGCTGTTCAACAACTGGTTGAGCGCCGTTCCTTCTTCGGCGTTCACAGGCCTTACTGCGTTGATTTATCTGTAAGCAACCAATGACACGAAGAATCCCGCGCGAAAGACTCATTTGTGACACTCTATGCAGGTATCTGAACAACAACCAGATCACCACCGTTGCTGCAAATGCATTCACAGGCCTCACCGCGCTGGTCCAATTGTAAGTATTCAAGAACAGGAAGAGGCGGACACAGCTGATTTTTATGAGACTGTGTGCAGGCAGCTGTACGGCAACCAGATCACCACCATACCTGCAAGCGCATTTGCAGGCTTGAGCGCGCTGGTACAATTGTAAGCAGCAAAGCACTAAAAGGATCACAGGCAACGTTGCTCACTCGTTTGCGAACCACAGGTATCTATACAGCAACCGGATCACCGCCATTTTCGTAAACGCATTCACAGGCCTTACTCATCTGAGTCTCTTGTAAGCAAGCAAAAACTGGAAGAGGCGCCAACAAGCAGCTCACGACGCCATCTGCAGGGAACTTTCCAACAACCAGATCACCAGCCTTCCTGCAAATGCATTTGCAGGCCTGACTGCGATGACACAATTGTAAGCAAGCAAAGCATGACGACCCTCAGAAAGCAGGAAACTACTCACTTGGTGCGGCGACTCTTTCTGTAGAAGTCTCTACAACAACTCGCTCAGCGCCGTTCCCTCGTCTGCATTCACAGGGCTTACAGCGCTACAGGCCTTGTAAGCCAGCAAAGTAGTGCATGAAGAATCACACACATGGCACATATATTTTGGGACACTTTCTGCAGGTATCTGTACAACAACCAGATCACCACCGTTGCTGCCAATGCATTCACAGGCCTCACCGCGCTGGTCCTATTGTAAGATCATAAGGATACAAAGAAGTAGCAGAAGAAGCAGACACAGCTGATTTTTATGAGACTGTGTGCAGGCATCTGTATCGCAACCAGATTACCACCATACCTGCAAGCGCATTTGCAGGCTTGAGCGCGCTGGTACAATTGTAAGCAGCAAAGAACTAAAGGATCACAGGCAACGTTGCTCACTCGTTTGCAAACCACAGGTATCTAAACAGCAACCGGATCACCACCATTTTCGCAAACGCATTTCCGAGCCTTACAAAGCTGACGTACTTGTGAGCAAGCGAGCGACTGGATAGAGTCGCGAATAAACAACTCACTTGTTCGCGACTCCATCTGCAGGGATATTTCCAACAATCAGATCACCAGTCTTCCTGCAAATGCATTCACAGGCCTGACTGCGATGACACAATTGTAAGCAAGAAAAGCTTGACGAACGACAGAAAACAGAGAACGACTCACTTGGTGCGGCGGCTCGTTCTGCAGGCATCTCTACAACAACTTGTTCAGCACCGTTCCTTCGTCTGCATTCACAGGGCTTACAGCGCTACAGGCCTTGTAAGCCAACAAAGTAGTGCACGAAGAATTGTGACGCATTGTCTCACATATTTTGGGACACTTTCTGCAGGTTTCTGTTCAACAACCAGATCAGCTCCGTTGCTGCCAATGCATTCACAAGTCTCACCGCACTGATCCAATTGTAAGTTCATAAGGATACAAAGAAGTAGCAGAAGAAGCAGACACAGCTGATTTTTTATGAGACCGTGTGCAGGCAGCTCTACGGCAACCTGATCACCACCATACCTGCAGGCGCATTTTCGGGCCTTTCTAAACTGAATCTCTTGTAAGCTAGCAACAGCACAACGAATCACAAACGAGTCGCTCACGCATTTGCGACTCACTCTTTTGCGACTCCATCTGTAGGCAGCTGTACAACAACTGGTTGAGCGCCATCCCCTCTTCGGCATTCACAGGCCTGACTGCGCTGACACAATTGTAAGCAAGCAAAACATGAAGAATCACCGACCAGTCACTCACTCTTTTGGGCGCTTTCTGTAGGCGTCTGGACACCAACCAGATCACCACCGTTCCTGCTAACGCATTCTCAGGCCTGACTGCGCTGATTTACTTGTAAGCAAGCAACGTAGTACACGAATAATCACACGCGAACGACTCACTTTTTGTGAGTCTTCAGGTCTCTGTACGGCAACCAGATTACCACCATTTCTGCAAGCGCATTTGCAGGGTTGACTGCGCTGCAAGCCTTGTAAGCAAGCAAAGGTATGAAGAATCACACCTGCATGGCTCACTTGCTTTTGTGATACTCTATGGACTGTAGGTATCTGAACGACAACACGATTACAACCATTGCCGCAAATGCATTTGCTGGCCTTACCGCGTTAAATTGGCTGTAAGCAACTTCAAAGACTTCAGGAATCACGACCATCGGCTCATTCGTTTGAGACTGCAGGGATTTGTCCGACAGCCAGATCACCAGCATTCCCGCAAATGTATTCTCAAGCCTTCCTGCACTAGCGCAATTGTAACTAAGGCAATTACAATGATGATAATCACAGACAAATGGCTCACTTGTTGGCGAGCCTTTTTTGTAGGAATCTGTACAACAACTGGTTGAGCGCCGTTCCCACTTCTGCCTTCACAGGCCTGACTGCGCTGACACAATTGTGAGCAAATACAGACATGAAGAATCACATACGCGGCTCACGTTATTCTGACACTGTCTGCAGGACTATGTACGGCAATCGAATCACCACCATATCCGCCAACGCATTCACAGGCCTTAACGCGCTGGTACAATTGTAAGCAAGCAAAGCCATGAAAAATCGACCAATTGGCTCAACTTCCTATTTTGAGGCACGATTTGTAGATTTTTGCAGAGCAATCAGATCACAACCATTTCAGCATCCGCATTCACGGGCCCGAGTTTGTTGACGCAATTGTAAGCAACTCACGATATGAAGAAACACACACACGATCTACTCACTTTTTGTGACACAATTTCCAGGTATCTGTCCAACAACCAGATCACCACCATGTAGGTCAGCGCAGTCAGACCCGTGAATGCAGAGGCGGATATGCTGGTGATCTGATTGCCATTTAGATACCTACAGAGTCGCAAACGAGTGAGCAGTTTGGGCTTGATTCCTCATGACTTTACTTGCTTACAATATTTTCAGCGCGCTCATGCCTGAGAATACGTTTGGAGCAATGCTGGTGATCTGGTTCCCGCTCATCTGCCTGCAGATAGAGTCGCAAACAAGTGGGCCGTTTGAGGGATGCTTCATATTTCTGCTTGCTTACATGTTCGTCAGCTTCGAAAGGTCTGTGAATGCGTTTGCAGCAATACTGGTGATCTGGCAGTTGTACGAATTTCTACAGAAAGAGTCACAAAGAGTGAGCCGTGTGTGTGAAGTGATT